AGTTAAAAAAAAAGTATATGAGTTATGCAAGGTCATAAGCAAAAAGAAATGCACAGGAAAATGAATTCAAAGAATTACAAGGGAAACAGCTGCCCAGATGGAAACAAGAAATTATCAAGACAGTCACATCTGTCCTCTGGCAAGAGGCAGTAGTTTGATTGTGACACAGGAAAATAAGAGAAATTAAATCCTTAGGGTTGCATTGCTTTTCCCAGCTCATTCTAAACAATATTCAGATTATTCAATATGCTGGGTATTTAACCCCTACTTCATCTGGTATCAACACAGGGAATGTTATATTCTGGTGGTATGGTAATACTAGGTTTCTATAGGGTACAAGATGACCAAGTGTTCTGCCTAATAAAAGGAGAGCCTTTTTGGGGTTTTTTTTTAAGCCCTGGGTTTGATGGAGGGAAAATTTTAAAAGCTCACGGAAAAAGAACAACAGCAGCAGCTGACTGCAGAACCTCTGTACTTCTGCTGGGCAGAGCAAAAGTTTAATTTCAAGAGAACCAATTGCTCACCTTAAGACAGCTGGGCCTAGAGATCAGAAAGACAGATGCTGAATGTATTCCTTGCTGCTGTTCAAACAGGCTGGGCAGCTCAACTTTGGGAAGATTTTCAACTAGTAAGAAGTTGATCTGACAACCACTTTGCTCTCATTCATCGTTCAGTTCCTTTCCTCTTCTCACCCCTGAAGAAATAAAGCACATTAGGATAGTCTGCTTATCCAACTTACCTTTGATAGCCCTGTTAAAGATTTGAATTTCAAAGCCCCATGAAAAAACCCCAGCAAAAATAAATTTGGGTGTTATGTGTTAAAGATTCTCCCTTTTAAAGATGTTTAAATATTTAGATGTTTAGAATATCTTTCAAATATGTTTAAATACTACGTTTCCGTTAGTAATGGTGTATGTTACTTAGTTATTACTGCTTTGGAGTGAGGACAGAAACAAAGCCTGAATTTTTGGAGTTACCTCATTGTGCTATCTCAATGCTCTGCTTTCAGGAAAAATAGTCACCTTCTATGTTCATTTCAGTTTCAGTCTTTAGAAAACCCTTGAGATAGCCATGGTTTTTAAATAAGATCAGAAAGTTACAGGAAAGAAACAATAACAGGGGAGAGAGGAGTGCATCAGAAAGACAGCTCTTCAAGTGACAGCTGCTGGATTCTGATCTTGCTTTCACTAAGGAAGATCTTTCACTTCCATTCACACGTTTTTATTGGCTTTGAAATAGTAAATACTACTGAGGCCACTATAATGGAACAGGTATAAACCAATAACTGAGCCATTTGTGAAACTCATACTGAAAGGAAATTAAGATATGTTGCTTTCTTTCTCTATGCTCCTCTTTTAGAACCTAGATAGGGTTTTGTGTGGCTGTGGTGACAGTGACTGCCACATCTTAGCTCTCACTTTTAGGCCCACTGGGCTGAGCCAGCTGTGCTGCTGGTGGTTCTCCTGCCAGATTGATCTGGGGTTCCTTATCCTTATGGGGATTCAGAAATAGCCGTGCTGTCCCATCTCATAGCACCAGTAGAAGTATTAAGTTAGGATATTAATAGAAGTATTAAGATAGAAGTATTAAGTTTGTTGGAGGCAGGAGGCAGACAGCTCTCAGCTCTGAGACCTAAGCAGAGGGAAAATCAAGTGGCATCGCTAGAGGGCAACAAGACATCACAGACTCCGCATTGTTAAAGCTCGAGCAATGTCACACCCTCACCGAGAAACAGCTGTTTGAAGAACAGCTTATGTAAGCCTTTGTGTTTTCACGACTGTGTGACATGGCGAATCTTGCTTCAGAAATGATAGAGCTTAAAATATTTTATTATGTCTGCACAAACAAAATTTATAATATCATTTTGTGTTGCTTTATCTCTGTTCTGCTACAGTAAAACAATTACAAGATTGGATATCGGTGCATCATTTTAATTTCTGAACAACATTTACCTAGGGCTATGGTGAAGAATAGCATATTCTCCTAAAAACTCATGCATTGGATACAAATAAAAATGTACAGGTTAGGAAAATTTGAATTTGGAGTTCACTGTCTTTCCCTCCCTCCCTTTCAGTCAGCATGAGCACCCATCCAAACTGGTAACAGGCATTGCAGGGGACAGTGACCCTGCCCCAGTCCTCTGCAGCTTTTAGGGTAGTTATTACCTCTTACCTTCCATTTCCTGCTGGCACTCAGTGTTGTCAGTATAAAACCAGCTTGCCACTAGAAACGTAGGCTGTGTAGTACAGGGACATGGTGCAGAGAAATGTGGAGAACCTGGCCTGAAGCCACTGCTGGGTCGAAGGAAGAGTCAGGAGTTTTTAAGCTGTGTGTTGTAAGCATTTTGCAGATGCAAAGACTTTTACTATTAGTATTGCTGTCCTTGCCTACCTTGTGCAGGCCAGCAGTCAAGACAGAGCTCCAGGCCAAGGGGTTTCCTGGGATTGCACTTTGTCTCCTGATTTGGCTCTTGGAAAAAGTGGGGCTGTCACCAGAAGCAGCCTCATTGTGAGAGGTCCCAGCTGACAATGTGGAGTCAAGGGATTTTTTTCTGTGGTCAGAGGGTAGCTGGCAGTGTGCCTTTTTAAGCAGTGTCTGTTTATTCATCAGGCTTGTAATGATGCTGACCTCTTACACAGACCTTCCTTTTTTAATTCCCTGATCTCCTAACTCGTTGGGAATAATTCTATGCACTTTCAGAAGACTAAATTCTAATCGCCTCAGCTTTGAACTTTTTGGAGCCAAGTACTGAGTACTGCAAGTATATTCAAACAATCTTTTTCATGGCATCTGTTCTAGTTTACTCTAGCTGTACTATTGCATGTATCTGCTGATTGGTACCTCCTCAGGTAGGGGTGTTTTCCACTGTGGACAGACAAGAGTTATCAGCAGGCTTCAGGGCAGGCCAGAGATTAGTGTGATTGTCTAGGCCAGGTCAGAGCTGAATGAAATTCTCTGATCACACTAAAGGTTCAAATCAGTTTTGTTTTCATCTTCAAAGTCTGATTCCAGTTTCAACTGAAGCTTTTTATGTTGCAGTTATAATACAAACTTAATTAGGAGGGCAACTAAAATTAGGAGGACTGCATGTGGGAGCTGGAGAGGCATCAACAGAACAGAAAGCAAAACTGCATATCTGAAAATGAAATAGCTTTTTTGGAATTTTTCTTTTGAGTATGCATTCTTCAAGTATATGATGTCATTTTTACTCTCATCCCAGTTTATTATTTGCCAAAGATTTCTTAGTCTAGCTTTCAATCAAAATAAGGCTTTCATTCTCTTATATGTTCTTTAAAGTACTTTTATATGTTTTTCTCCCCTTATTTGACAATAAGATGTCAAATGTGTTTCAAACTGTAGTTTTCCCTTTTATTTTTCATGTCTGTGTGGACTATACCCTTCAAAATTCCTTTGAGTTACCTGAGTGAAATCTTGTGAGAAAAAGACTGATGTGAACATATTGACACAAATGATAAAAATTTTTTTCTATGGGTGTTCATTTTAAAAAAAAATCATTAAAACAGCAACAAAAAAGTCCACTTGAAATTATGGCCAGGCCCAGTCCTTAGATTCGGAATAAATTTGCATGGACTTCTAAATTCAGACCATTCAGCATCCAGTACAACTAAAACCAAAGCAACTTTCTTTGTAAATTGCTTGAAGAGTGGAGCAGGTTTGAAACTATCCACACAGATTCTTGTTCATCCATCTAGGCACATTATCAAAGTGGAGCAGTATGTACATTTTTTGGAATCTATTGAGTTTGTTTTGTTTCTGTTGTAAATATACAGACATTTCTTTAAGTCATGGTGTAATTTTGGTCTATCTGCTTTGGACTGTCTTGTGACCCTCAAACAGATTTATGGATTGCACTGATAGACACTAATTCTTAACACAATGTTTTTCATCTGCTGTGGTGTGACACAAATGACAGAGTGCCCATTTCCTTTTCACTGACCTCTGCAGCTGGCTTGCCTCTTGCTTTATCTGAGCTGGTAATTAGTAACTGCAGGGTAGAACCTGGCCCCCAGCATTTGAACTGTCCCTTTGCTTTGGGAGTGCTTCTACTCCATTTCAGGACAGTTAATCCATCTGATTATTGACCCAGTTAATAGTAAGTAGACTCAGCTGACTACTGGCTTTGTTCTGAAAAGTATTACAGACATTTTTACAGTCAGGAACAACAGCCAGGAGATCTAAGGAGCTGTCAGGAGCCCTTCTGTTTGTGTCAGAGATAGCTAATCCATTAACTGGCCAGGACAAACTGCCAGTCTGTTTCAGGAACAGCTGAATATAACCTTCAATGACAGTGATTTAACTACCTGTTTGTCTTTGCCGAGAAATAATTACAATGAGTTACAGCTACTGACTGTGTAAGTTATTGTGCTTCAGCTGCTATTTCTGTCTTTCTTACTGCTTAATTCCTTACCTGGGAAATTCCCATCCTGTGTGTCCAAGACTGAGACATGTTCCCTACATGCACAACTCCAAGGTCTCTGAGGGTCCCCATCCCTATCATCAGCCATGGTACTCTTAATGACCCTGAACTCGAGTTTTAGCACGTACTGGTGTGATGTGTAAATAGATGGGATGTTGTAGCTGCAGGCAGAATAGCCTTTGTGAAGAGCTCCCGACAGCCGGGTGAGCAGCGTAGCTTCATTTAAAAAGACAAAACACAGCATCACACCGCATGGGATGTCCATCACACCGCATCCCTTAAACTTGCAAGGAGTAATAGGGCATCCTCGCGGGCCATGTCCGAGCCTGCCAGGGACAGCGACCAAATTATCTCACAGTCCCTCACTCTGCCTCAAGGTGCACTTCATTCCAGCCCGTGCTGTTTGGAAAGCAGCTGCTCCCAACCCCAGGCAGATGAGAATCTCCAAGAGGAAGCATTCCCGCCGCTGCCGGGGATCTCCGGCTGCTCCCCAGAGCCGGCCCGTGTCAAAGCTGCGGCTCCAAAGGCGGCGAGCGGAGCAATCCCCGGCAGGAGCCCGCAGCAGCCAGATCGGGTTGCAGCCCTGCCTCGGTAGCTTTACACCACACCCCTCCCTCCAGCGGGGATTACTAGGGGAGGATCACACTCTGCTCTGATTCAGGAATTCCCTCTTTCTTCAAGAGCTGTTGCTAGGAGTTTGGTGAGTACTTTGCAGCAGACTTTCGGTTTTAACGGAGTAGTTCTTTTTCCTTTAGCTGCCGAAAGCAGAATCAGCTGGTGGCTTTTCTTCAGATGCAGTAGTCAGATGTTTAGATTCAAAGTCCAAAAGAGAGCGCTGCAAAAAAAGGGAGAGACTCCTTTTCCTCTGCAGATTTGAAACAGCAGGACAATGAATATGCTTGTATGATTAATACAACTAACATTTACTTGCCATAATCTTAGTCTCAGGTATTTTAAGCTCTAAGTCAGTTCTTGGAAAGGAAGCCGTCCTAAAGCTGAATAAATTATCAATAGCTTGAGTTTGAAGAAAAACTCTTGCTTTTTTTAAAAGCATTTTATCCACTGCAGTACATCCAAGAGGCTTGATTCAAGCAGAGTGGTATACCAGGCTGTTTCAAATCGATCTGAGGCAACTAACTTCTGAAGCAATTCATATGTTGAGAAGTACAGGAAGATTTTAGGAGAATCATATTAAGCTGTTAAGACATAAGCCAATTTCACTCACAGTGTATTTGAAATTTACAACAAACTAGTGAATGAGGTGTCCAGTCGTATCAGTGTAACAAACGCACTCTGCACCCCAAAAAAACTTTACTTGGAATAATAATAATAATAAACTTCATTTTTAGTAACTGTGTAAAACAAATAAGTGATACTGGCCTGTATTTTAAAGTATTGCTAGAATTGGGTAATATGTTAAAAAATTGCAATTTAAATGAGGAAAAAGCCCATAACAATGGGAAATTAGAGGTAGGGAGAAAAACAGCAATTTGGTTTGGGGGAGGAGTGTGTGGATGGTCAGTCTGACTCAGTGCTCCAGGAATTAGCCATGAAAGTGTCATGGGAAACATGTAGAGATATAAACCTTCCTTCCTGAGTGTCTTATGGGCAGACACAGAGACAGGAAGTGCAGCTGTCAGTGCAGATAGGGACAGCAAGGGCGTGCTGGAGGAATTGCCAGGCACCTACTTGGGCAAAGCTGTCAGCCTTTGCCCTTTGGAACCTTCTGCCCTTTATTTAATTTCACTAGGAGACATTTATTGCTGTCTGTGAAGGCAACGAGTGTCTGTATCCACAGCAGATTCCTCTGAATTATTCTTTAAGCTGAATTTCAGAATTATGATCAAGTTTACTTTGTGCGTAGCGTACACGGAACAATGCTGAGGAGGTAAAGGTGGTTAAAGCACATCCTGCTCTGGCCTTTTCTCCTGTCAAATAATGCTCCATGTGAAACTGTTAATTAAAAAGCAGCCATGTGGCAAATTGCTTGATGAATCCATTTATTTGAAAATTTTATTACCTTTATGCCAGAGAATCACTGAGTGCCCTTTAAATTGCCTTTCAGTAATCTGTGTGTTTGTCCTCACATTGTGCATTGCATAGTTTGTAATTTTTAGGTTTTAAAGCTCCCAAAGCTCTCATGGTGTAGCTATGTGACATTTAAGGTGCATTTAGCTTTTTTGTGCAGTGCCCACATTTACTAATATTGCTCATGAAAACTTAACTGTTATTCATCTAGCAATATTCTAAGTGCTGAATTAGAGTTTTATGTTTCTGACTCAGGACAGATAGAAATTTAATGGCATTGAGTTTATCTATCCCTAATCTCATTGGAGAGTAATTTTCAAAGCCCAGTGGTAAAAATTTCACTTTTTGGTGTTCTATTTTAGCTCTAAAAGGAAGTGAGGGACAACATTCAGAAAGGTGGAAGATTTCCTGGGAAGAGGAAATTTTAAGAAATTGGAGGAAAATTGATCTTGGAAACAAAACAAGGGTGTAAAACAAGGAGTATCCTAGCAGACTCAGAACACCTCCTCTGGAAAAAAAAATACCGTTACACAGTCTTTCATATTCTGGAAAGTTGCTTTAATATCTACATTTACCTTAAAAAGGTGATTCTGGCAGTAATTCTAGCTTGCATTGTAAGATAAGGTGGTATCTGCTTTAAGTGCTTTTTAACTGTCATGATTTTGTTGGTGTGCATCCAGTCCATTTTGAGACTGGCTGCCAGAAGGACTCAGAGCATGTGCATAGGAAGAAGAAAATAAATTTTAAAATTAAAAAAAATATCAGTAGAACTTAGCAATGAGGTTTACATGACTGTCATATCTCAATTTTGGAACCAAGTGTTTAAAATCTGTCAAATTCCATGAGTTACTGGTGTTGTTTGTTTGGGCTGCATTCTGAACAGTCATATTTTCTCTCTAGAGAGTCAGAAGAGGCTGATGGGCTCTTACCTATCTGAAGTCGTTCTTCACAGTGAAACCAGAGAAAACTTTCTTGAAAAACAGGGACAAATTACTCACTTCTCTATGTTTGTCTTATGAAACCAATTTAACTTTACAATGGGGACAGAGTACCCCTGGGGACAGAATGAAGCAAAACCATATGGAGACTTGTATAATTCCTTTCCCCTCAAAAAATTTCACAGCAAAATTGATTTATTTTAATCCTTTTCATTTTGTCTCACAACTCTTTGTTCAGTTTCTTAATTACTTCCTGTGATGTTAATACAGCTGTTTATTTCCCATCTTTAGTATTTCTGCCATCTTCCCTGATGAATAACTGAGTGAAGCTCTGAATCAGGTAATTAGATTTACAGTTTAGTGAGAAAATAAAACTAGGCTTACTCTAGGGTGTGAGTTGGATCACAAGAAAGTTAAACTTTCTTTCAGAAAATTGAGCCTTCCTTCAGAAAATGAAGCGTTCCAAGAGAACTGATTTTAATGTAACTACATTGAAAAGAGTAGTTGCAGCAAGTAAGTTAGAAATACAGACTTTATGTGAGGGAAATATTCAGTTGGTACTGTTTTTATGAACTTCAAGTGAGGTCTCTCAAAGCGCGTTGGCATTTGCTCTGTGTCCAGAGGAGCTGGCACTGTGGGAGATGAAGGGAATACAATCCTTTTTTTCCATGCCATTGTTATTTCATTTTGGTTTAAAGTGGCTGTAGGGTGATAATCTGAGGCAGTCTGAATCCTGGGTGATTCCCACTGAAGGCAGTTTCAGCATTTCTAACCTGTGTGACCATCACAAATCCACTGCAGGAAAAGTGTCTGTGGTGTCTCCAGCTGGGAAAACAGACCAGGTGAGCTAAACTTTCCTGACAGACAGGGAAATTTGTATTTTGGACCTCTGTATGTGTGAAAATGTGGTTGATGTGATGGTGAGGTTACAGAAGGTGAATGGGTATGACCAAAACCAGTCACCAGAGGCATCACTGTGGCAGCAGTTTCCTCCTGTGCCTGCCTGTGGTATTTTCAGCACCTGATTGAGTGTCATGCTTCCACAGCATGTGCAAATGGGAAATTACACGCCACTGGGCTACATATATATATAACATAGTGCTGAAATTCCTCTCTCCACTAGAAAAGCAGGTTGTGCTAAGGTAATTGACATCTAAATTCACTTCTGTTTATCCGTAAGCACAGCTGAGACTTAAATGCATGGACTGGACTTTTCCAGTCCAAGCTGCTAGGAAAAAAAAAACAGGTTTGACACTTTATAGTGCTTACATGTAACTAATTTTGCTGCTTGTTTGTTTTGCTAGTGGATCCTGTGCTCTGGAGTGGTTTTTATTAGGATACTGAAAGCATTCTGTGTTTGAAAAGAAGATCAGATGGCCAATATTTTTGCTACCAACGGGGAGTTTCTGTCTGAGCAGTGCAGGCCTGAGTGTAGTGGGTTTGTTTTGTTTACTAAGATTTATTAAATTATGTAAGCAAGTTATTTGCTTTAGTCCACATGTAAAAATATTTTGATAGGAGCAAAAGATTTCTTTTCCCTCTTGAAAGCTAAATCAAAATGAAAAATGAGTTAGTTATGTGATTTGCTGCAGACAAACCCAGTGGTCCTGTGAAAAGTGCAGTTATTTTAATAAATCAGTTTTAATTTCAGAACTTATAATTCACTTTGACTGTTGTATTAGGTGCTCTGCACTGCCTGGTCAGGGAGTTAGGAAAATTGTTTGCAGCCTTCTCTAGCCAAGGCTTACTGTCACTACAGCTCTGCCTACCTGATTGTATCCATTTCCCTGCTCTTGGGTCATGCGTACCATGGATGGGACACCTGTCTGAGCCATGCAAGAATTCAGTGGAGGAGGAATTGAGAGTCTGGAGCTTTGTCACAAGAGAAGTTGAGTGGAGACAGGATGGCAGAAGTACCTAGTGCCACATGTGAACAGACCAGCAGAAGGGAAAAAATAGATCCTGGACCTAAGCTGGGAAAATAGAAAACAGTTTTAAAACAAGAGTGAAAGAAGCTAACAAGGAAAATGAAAAGGCAAAAGGTCCATAGGCATATTAAAAAAAAGGGACTTATTCCACTGGGTTTATTAATTAACTTGGTGCTTTAAAATTTCCATTTCAAAACATGACAAGGTTTTCCTTTTCAATTCTTTTATCAGGTGCTCTTGGAAAGAAGCATTTACAATCTTCATAAAAGCAGAAAGAAGGTAGGAGTTTAAATCTGAACCAGTGACATCAGGTTATACAACTTTTCAGCATAAAAGCTAATAAAAACATTAGTTTTTCCAAATTTTCTCCATAGTTCCCGGTTTACACTTCACTTTCCAGTTATCACTAGGTAATTTCAGAGACTGGAATAGTGCAGCAGCAGAACATTTATTGTAAATGGTGAAAGGTAGGTAACCAACCACAATTGTCTTTCATAACAAGCAGGAGTTTCAAGTTCTTGGAGGAAGCAGATGGAGTCCCTGGTCCCGGGACTGACACAGACTGAGAGCTGCTGCAGCAGGGCACAGAAAAGGGGAGATAATTTGGGATGAGGGAGGTGGGATTTCCGTAGGTTTTGCTTTCAGTCAGTAATGTTTGTATGCTCGTGATTCACAGTGCACTGCCTGAACTTACAAAGCTGCTGTGACAGCACAAGGCTCTGGTGGAAATCAGTTTGAGAGCTCCTCTCTGACTCAGGTACCACCATCAGAACAGAGGTGATGCAATTCTTGCTCACTCCATTCTTCATATTTACAGCTGAGGGAATGAGAAAACAGCTCCAAACCAGCACATGTAATAAAATAATTTTTTAGGGAACTGACTCTGCCAGCTGAGACATAATGCTGCAGATAAGACTAATGATGAAACCTTTTGACACACGAGTCCTAGTAGGCATTGCAAGGTGTCACAGGACAAAGACCGTGCCTCTGAACTACAGTGAACTGAAAAAGGTCTGCTTTTATATCAGAAGTGTTATAATCCTGTCTAGTTAGACCTTTTAATCCTTAATTTTAGGCTGTGCTAAAATGGACCTCTGGCCATGCACATCCTACCTTCTGCTGTTAATTCCTCTACTTAATTATATCCTCTGCCTTTTTGTGTGTGTGTGTTTCTGTTTCCTGGGCTGTCAGTGTGAATGAGTCACTTTTACCATCATTGCAATGTCACTTTAGGCCCTTTCCTAAGGATGTCTTTTTTTGGCTACTATGGGAAATGCTAGTTTTATTTTTCTTTTTCCAGTTAGCGTGTTAGAGATAAATGCCACCCTGGGAAAAGAAAAAAAAAAAGTTTGTGACTAAACGTTCAGGGAACTATAAAAATTGGTGTTGACTGCTAGGTTAAAAAAAAAAAAAAAAAGACAAGTCCTGTCTCCAAAGGCTGCAAACTGCATGAACAAGACACTCAGTCACTCAGTTTCATATTTTTCTGGTTTTGGCAAAAAAATAAATTTTGATCTTCCTTCTGTTTTTGTTTTGGGTGTCAGGAGGAAAAAGTTTTGACTCTAAGGCCAGGTAGTAAGGATTTGTTACTGGGAGCTTCCTTGATGCTTGTGGCCTGCCTTGGCTATCTGTATTTCAGCCTGAGGGAAGCTAATGGCAACAAATTAAAGCATTTAATTAACTCAGTAAATAAATCAGTGCCAATTATTAACCACAGACCTTTGATCTCCTTTGTCAAGTAACATTCTTGTTGTCTGTTAAAAAATGTCTCATTAAAAGGTGGGGAGTTTGGGAGCCGTAGAGTGCCAGTTCCTAAGGAATTGTCTGTATGAAATACAAGTTAATGACACAATGATGTAGAATATTAATGCTGGACTGACACCTGGCTGTCCTAAGCTATAATCCTTCTGGAGGAAAAGGCTTTATTTACTCTCAGAAATTTTCAGACTATAGCTGAAGTAATCAGACAGTTAAACATGACCTATTTAACATTGAAACATTTCCTATTTTTCTCATGACAGACAGTTTTTCACTGATGCATGCATTTGGCATTTTACTGAGGCAAATATTATAGATGAAGTGTTTTGAATTTTGCACTCCATAGAAGTAAAACAACAACAACCAAAAAAAAAAAAAAAAAAAAAAACCAAAAAAAAAAAAAAAAAAAAAAAAAAACCAAAACAATCAGAGTGCTTAAAAAAATACACCAATATCATAAGAGGCTTACAGCTTTAAAGTTCTGTTACTGGGCAGCTGAACATCCAGTCAGAAAACCTGGACTTTTTCTAGAGGGTTTGGGTTTTAATTGAAAATCCAGTGCCAAGTACACTTTGATCTGGGATTTCTTTCTTCCTTCAGGAATAATAAGAAATAATTAAACTGCGGAAGGATTTAAGCATTTTATTACCAAAACGTTCACCCCACTCATCCCACCTCCACCCAGACCTGACCCAATGTTCTGGGACTGTGTGACCTCCTGGGGAGGGTAGCAGGAAGATAAAGAAGGTTGTGTTTGCTCAGGACACTTTGCAGCAAGGCAGATATGCTGCTGCACAGCCTGCACTGTTCCTGTTGGGAACTGGCCCAGGCATGGAGATGCCCAGCTTTTGACACACTTTTGACCCTTCCTTTAAGGGAAATGTAGGAGTTGAGTAGAAGAATAGAAATACTGTGTCTTGGGAAGGGTTTTGTTCTCTGTACAAATGTAGTAATTTGTCCTCACAAACACACAGTGACAATGCTGTGTGGTAGCTCATGATACATAGAATTCTATTTCCAAATGAAAAAAATACAGGAACTTACAAGGATTTCCATTTCTGCCTGATTGCCTGTGTTCTGCTTGGGGAAAGGCTTTTGAGAATATGGGATAACTGACTAAAAACTGATTACTAAATTTTGCATTCTAAATCTATACTCTGTGGATTCCTAGAAGAAGGAACCAAAGCCTCAATTTAAGTAATAAAAACCCAAACTCAAATAGAGTTTTGCTGAACTAGTGAGAGTTTTGATGGCATGGAAAAAGTCAAACATGGAAAATGAGGGCTCAGGGACAAACATGGAATTAATCCATGGGTTACTGAAGTTGTGGATAATTAGCAAGTTCCTTTATGAAGAGCCACAATTGTGCCAATGATTACTTGAAAGGAAAACAATGTGCTAGAAATTTGCTCTTTCCCATGTAATTTCAAAACCTGCATTTTGTAATTTTTTATTCCAGTGACCTCACTGGAGCCAGGTAGTTTGAAAATTATTACTTTAAGTATCAAATCTGAATATTTGATTATATTTCTGCTTTAAGTGAGCCCAGACAATGTCAAACTAGCACCAGCTTTGTTTATATTGTAGTGTTAATTGTCTGTGCAGTTCTTTGATGATTTTTTTTTTTTTTACTCAATGTTTCTCCCCATATCATTTTTATTAGTTGTGGATTTATTTTAATTTTAGTTGATGTCAAACTAACGTCATAAATCAGATGTCTCTCAAATCACAAAGACAGTCTTGGACAACTTCAGGTTACCATGTACAGAGTTACTGTCTATTTTAAAGCATGACTGCACTTTTTATCAGGGGTGAATGAAAAGATTTGTTATGACTCTTTATGACTCTTTTTTTTTTTTTTTCAATCTTTGGAAAAAAAATGCATAATTACTCCAAGGTCGGGTGCTACAAAACTTTGTATATAAAGGATTGTAACACTGGAGTTCCAGTTAGAATTGTGATGAAAAAGGCTACTTCTGTTTCTTTGAAAAATACTCTAGCTCTTGCTCATTTTTTCCATTTACAGAGTATTTCAAAAGTTGCGCATTGGTTTCTAATCCAAGAGAGGTTATTCCATCTCTGCTAGAAAACAATAATTTCTGAATTTGTTCACAGAATTAAAGAATAGTCTTTGAGGAAAGATTTTTAAATCATGATTAAAAACACAAAATGAGATCTGTATTAGTTTGCAGAATGTTTTGCCAAACTGTATGTGGAAAGCCTTTTATTTGTTGCTGTAGATGTTAAGCTCAGTGTTTGAGTCTAGAAGGAATCAAAGACATGCAATTTTTTGTTTGTTTTGGCAGGAATGCATTATGATGTGGAATTTACCATGGTCATATTTTTTGGCTAAAGTAGAAATTTCCTTAAAACCAAAATTTTTGTTCCATTATAAAAGAAAGAGAAAAAAGGAAGTCTCAGTGTTTTTTACGAAGCCTTCTAAAAGGCATTGTCAAATTAAAGATTACTTAAATAGTTGGTGCTGCTCATGATTTCAGCAAGAGTTGCTTTTAAGAATTAATTTCCTTTTTATTATATGCTGCAAGCTGGGAAAACACTGAGTATGCAAGAGAGAAAAATTGGTAAGTTTTCTGGAGAGAAATGAGAATTGTGGCTCTGATTTGGTGAAGACCATGCTGTCTTCGCAGGCATGTAAAAAAAACACTCAAGACCAAACTGTCTGAAGTCTAGGAACTTCCTAGCCCTTAGATTTTTAGGTTTTATTTACTTAATATTAATTAACATAGCAAAAAGGAATTCAGTAATGTACTGGAAGAGAAGAGGGTACTACTCCCTATTCCCTATTATGAATAAGGAATTGATCTTTTGGTAACAAAGATATTGGGTCTATTTCTAATTAAAATCCAGAGATCTTTAAGGAGCTTTTAGTTGGACAATATGTTTCCAAAAAGTTAAAGCAAAAGTTTTCTGGAGTTAATTTCATGTGTGTGTGCATGGCCTCGTCTTTAACAACCTGAATATGACAGCTGCCATGGAACAAAAGTGTTTTTCTTCTGTCAATGACTGCACTGATTTAAAGCAAAAAATAGCTCTGAAATTAAGTCAGGTTCTCAGTATTAAAGAAACGCACAAGATAGTAAATCTTGCTTAAAGCTCTGAAGTCCATGTTGCAAAAAAGTTCACTGACTCCTCTGAAATGCAACTTACTCAAGAGTCTGGGAACTTGGTAATTATAAATTGATTAAATATTTGTTAAAAATGTTGTGGCAATGAATCTAGGCTCTGCAGGTGGAGAAAAACTTATTTGCAATAATTTGACTTGGCAAGCAATGCTATATTGTGTAATTAATGCCAGAATATTAAAAGTACCAAGTGTTACGTTTTGTGTCGTGATATGCTCCAGAAGGTGATTTCAGCTGGGGTTTAGGATGAAAGCAATGGCAGTGCTTCTAACCTGGATTGGAGATGGGATAGGAGACCTGCAATCTGCTGAGGACAACTGCAATCCTTGTCTTGTGTTTCACTGTGCTTACAAGAGGATTATACCAAAAGAGCTCACATTGTCTCCAAAGCTCACAGCTTGTGTGTCTGCCCACAGGGCTGTGCACTGCCCCACTTATGACTACTGCAGAATGCTCAAGGACTGACTTAGTCAATTGCTGTTTTTATGTTATACAGGGAAGATGAAGGGAAGAAAGAAGGGACACTCCTCATCTTCATGCTTTATCTTGCTGCTCTTCTGTATCGCTGGGCACACAACTGCTGAGCTGGATGGCAGCAAAGAAGAGCATGTTGTGGGTAAGAGATCCTAGAAAACACCTAAAACTCAACCAACAAAAACCACTCAAACAAAGCCCACTATGTTAAAATGCACTACAGATGTAATTCTGCACTTGAGAACTTTTGTGGGAAACTTTGAAAATTGGGAATAAGCTAAAAATAGCATCTAACAAGGAGAGAGATTCTTATAATCTATTAAGCTTTAGCAGAATTGCCTTCTTCTGGGACTTCTGTTTCCCAAGCTATTTGGAACATCTAATCCTAATCAAACACTGGGTTAGATGTCAAGATGATTCCTTTAAAGCTGTGCTTTAGGAGCATGGAAAAGTTCAATGTTCAGGCAAGGAAACGTGGAGCTGGTTAACTCAGGCTTTATTTCCTCACAGAGAAAAAGCAAAAATATGATTAATACCATTGTAGATTGATGTTGCTCTGTTCCACGCACAGATCTCTTGAGTCACAGTCAATTTGCAAAGTTGGATTTTAAGATGATACTATTACTGTCCTGGTAGTTTTCCTGAACCTTAATGAAGGTCTTAGTATTGCCCAAGTGATTTGGTATCACTGAATAAATAAAGAAGTTGGACTTGATCCTTGTTAATACCTTCCAACTCAGGATATTCTACAATTCTATGACTAAAAACTCACCAGTTGAAAATTTTTGTTGGAAAAGCAGTGTGATTGTTAGAAATGGGGATGTTCTTGATTTTTCACCATGGTAAGATCATTGTTTACTTCACTGACATTAAGATTTATCAGAATTCTAGACTGGATATCATTGTGAAGGGTATTTCAAATTCTCCCAAACAATTCTGAGAAAGCTGAGGGAAAAATACACTGCTGGGGCCACATTAAAATACTCTTTTTTCCTTTGAGGAAGTGACTTGAAAATGTGATCACTTCCCTAAGCTGCAGAGGACTCTGAAGTGGAGATTTTTGTTTGACAATCTGATTTTGAAGTGCAAATGAAAGTGTAGCTAAGGGGAACATTTTTGTTATGTTTTGTTTTATTTCCATCCAGATTATTGCTATCAGACTTTGGCAGCAGTGTTCTTTGAGACAGAAATAGTTGTTGTGCACAGTCATGGCTATGCTAAGATAGGACCATGTCACAATTAGTCACTACAATTTAATATATATGCTGTTCCAGGTTAAGTGTATGACTAGAATGGCTGTGTAGTAAAGACTGGTTCATGCAGAATAAAGTTGTTTCTTTTAAACTCTGAATTACAAAAATGCCCTTTTTGTTTGAGGGCAAAGTCACATTTATCTTTGCCCCACAACTCTTAGTGCTGTATGACTTCTTAGCCAAGCTTGCAGGTCGTAAAGGCCAAATCAGCTTGCACACTTTGTCACCATAACAAGAAATCTGATGGCTTAATTTTTTTCCTCCATTTGCTTTGTTTATAAAAGAAAATAAGTAAATAATCTCAAGGAAATTAAATAGTCATTTTACTGGGGATTATTTTCTCATTGGTTATTTTGCAACTGGTTACTTAGGATTATGTGACCACTAACTGATTTAGTATGAGAAACAATTCTGAACTTCTGGCTTTAATTTTGAAGTAAAAACCCATCAGATGTGAGGCTTAGATATTAAACTAGAATCCTGTTTTTGTGTTGTGACTACTGAGGACTCAGTTGCAGTGTTTACAATAAAAAAGCTTTTGCTGTACTCTTTTCACTAAATATTTAGATTGTTGTTAATTAAAATTTTATTTGTGGTTTCTCAAGATTTAACTTCTGGACTCAGACTTTAAATGATGAAATTTTGTGGGCTGCATATCATTGATAGTATTTATTTTTGAAGTTAGATGATTATAAAGCAATGATATTTTACCCCAGCATTCCATAAATTTCAGGTATTAAAGGATAATTGTGTACATCCATTATTTTTAATGTCATACTTTTGGATCACATTGAGTACAAGTGCTTTGTGAATTTGAGAGGTGGGGTTTTGTCTATTTTAATTACAGTAATAATCAAGATTGCAGGGTCAAGCCCTATATAATAAAAATATTTTTAATTTGTTCTCTTCCAGCAAAATCTGTCGTTTTCCCATCAATAGATAAGTGTAATAACAAAAACGAAAGGCATAAAAATAACCAGGTTCTAAGTATTGTTCATTAATGCCTTATGTGGTAGGCAGCACTTCAGCTGATGTTCCTGAAGAAAATGACTCACAAACTGAATGTGCTTTTTATTCATATGTGAAAGCTTGCCAAGAATAAATGTGCCTGCCTATAAAAAAATGCAGGAAACACAGGGTAGGAAGAGCACTGAAGAGTGTGTGGGTGGGAAGCTGTCAAATTGACAAAGATGGAGAGAAAAGAAACAGCTATTCATTAGTGACAAGGTGCTTAGTATTGATACCACTTATCAAAAGGAGACATTGCCAAGGAAGGCTGGAAAGATGACAGCATATCTTTATAATTAAGGATAACCATGGGAATTCTCATAAAGTTAAGAACACATAACCTAAGCAAACTAAAACAAAGTATTTTTATATAAAAATTTAAAAATATTCTTGTTCTTTGTTCTCCCAATTTATATCTCTCTGTTCTGAAAAGCAGCTCCTCCATAATGCTTATGCATATTTATTGTGCTGCAGGTGTATAGAAATCAGTTCATTTTCTAATTAAAAGGAGGTCTTTTTATCAAGCAGCCACAAGATTATCCACAAGAGTCTGAAAGCCAAATTAGAGTCTTTTGTTATGCCTACATCCAGAGGAAAGGTATTGTTTTCACTTATACTAATGTAAGAGGATTATTCACTACTCCTGCTTTTGTAGCACTGCCCGGCTTTCTAGTGAAGTGATAACAGAGCCTTGCCTGGATCACCTACAGTCCCTGTGCTCAGGGCTGGCTGCAGCTTTTTAGAGCTCTCTCAGTGAAATGACTGCACTGAAATGAGGAGTGGTGTCCAAACTGTCCCCTTGCGTGGCAGAAGTTGCCATGGGAGTGACAACAAAGGTGAGAGTGGCTGAGCTGTGTAGGAGCAGTCCTGGCCCCATCTTGTTTGACAGCTGCAAAAAGCAGGAAGGGTGAAGGACTGGAGGAAGACAGTAGTGGCAAAAAACACCTGCAAGGAGCTCATTCTCTTTGTCAGCCATTTCATGGGCATTACTTTGGTCTTAACCCTGGGCAGTGCAGTGGCTGTTAAACAGAGCAATGGGTGTCTAGTGCTCATGTTGCTGATGTAAAGAAGTCATTACATTGAACACCAGCTCTAATCATTATTTAATGTACTTATAACAAAATGTCTTGGTCTAGGCTAGTACAGTCTTACAATTATACAGGAATTCTTTATATATTTGGACCAGATGTCTAAACTGGATGAGTAATAAATATCCAACAGAACCAGATCTAATGTGGGGGGTTAAATTATTTTTTTTCAATGATAAATGTAATATGCTATACTTAAGAAGGAGAATTAAGGCAATCATCAATACAAGATGGAAAATTCGTATTGAAACACCTGTATAACAAGGTTCTATTTGCTGGAAAATCAATGGAAGTTACAGAGCATCACAAAATTAATTCAATGTTTAAGCGATTAGTGTTAAAGCCAGTGTCAAAAGGCAAGTGATTTTGTGTTGGATTATGGAAAAAACCCAAAGGGTAATTATTCCACTGTATTTGTCACTAGTAATGTGTCAGGTAGGGGATTATATTCAACTCTCAGCAGCACATTTTATCAGGAACCCAGACCAATAGGAATCATCCAGACAAGAGTTATGAGAGGATTAGAAAGCAATATAAAAATATTAGAAAGCCAATAAAAAGATGAGAAGAAAGGAGTTTATTTAGTGTGGAGATAATTAAGAGAAGACAAAATCTTGTAATAAAAAGAGAGCAGAGGTTTGGGCTACAGAAGTGATGCAGTGAGCGCAGGGCAGCTGCTGCACCACCAAGGCTTCAAGCAGCCAGGGAAGCTACTGAACTTGGGGAGCCCAGAATCAAGGTTGAGAGTGCAGGAAACAACTTTCTCTCCTTCAACAGCTTTGAATTGCAAGACATGAATGGTGGATTGGAAAATCTAAACTGATTTATCATGTGTGTATATATATGGGTTTAAATTGTTTTGTCTATGCATGAAGGAAGTAAAAATTATTTATTATATAATAAAGAATATTCAGGCAGTATGTTACTAAAAAAAAAGGGCTGTCTTACAAAGAGAGTAGTGAAATCTAGAACTGACTGCTTCAGATTGCTTGGAATTTTACTTCACTTGGATGAGAAACTCCATTAACATTCATTCAAGTGTGATCTTCCTCTCTTTCTGCTGAGGAATTTTCACTGAATTTCCTGACAGACATCTTCACTGAAGGTCATATCCTGTGCTTTTCACACAGCACCTAAAATGTAATAACACTTTGTCGCAGTGTTCAAGAACAGAGGATGAGTTCTTACACTAGGAATTAGTTTTGTCAAAGTATATTCCACAAATTAAATGGGTACAGGCAGATGTGTGTCTATGGGCAAATATTACTGCTTGCTTTCTCATCTGCTGCTCTAATCTAAGAAGGAAAGCTAATTTTATATCATCTGTGTGAGTTAAGTGCTCCCAGGTGTAAAGTAATGGGGAAGAATTCTTTCACTGTTTCCAGACAGAAGAATGATTCAGTTCCGACGAATCCCTTGGAGACCTCTTTCTTCAGAGTCACTTGGTTACTGTTTGGAGTTGGAGGGTTTGGCCCCTGGGGCTTTGACAGGGTACAGATTTTACTCAAACTATGGCAGCTTTCTAGCATTCCTAGGAAGCTGAGTGATTGCCAAGAAGTGTGACACAGTTAGTCATTATGTTCTCAGCAGATGTCAGGACATCTGACAGTGGTTAACAGCATCCCTGTGACTGCAGGGGAAAGGCCTCAGGAGGTAACCAAAACAACGATTTTGTTCCGTGGGTCTGATAGGAAGTGGGCTAGGAGTGGAGAGCAGAAGGTTCCCAGGATGAACTCTGCTAAGCCATTTGTTCATCCTCTTGGTGTAGTTTTGCAACAATGCTTGCGTGCTGTTTTTGTTTGGATAGCTCACCACACTGAGGTGGTGCAATGCAGCAAGAAAACGAGCTGACATAACTGTGTGTCTGAAATTTCAGTGGTTAAGAAACCTGGGGAGTTTTCACAACCTCTTGTAGACGGGACTGGGTCACTGGCAGAGGTCACAGAGGGGATCTCATTGCTGGGGAGCCAAGAAAATGATGTGTTCATAACCCAGCTGCCAGCCCTCACCCCAACCACTTCTGAGTTGGACTGGTTTCTGTGGAGCTCTGAGTGTTTGATTTTAACATTTCAGGAGTGATTTCATAACTTACTGAAAACTTTGGTGTTTTGAAGACATTTTTTCCCTGGTACTGAGCAGGGGCAATCCAAAATTTCAATTTGCAATGCAGTATCCTCTCAACTTTTTAAGTTGAGCCTTTTTAAGTCCCTTCCAAAGGATTTCCAAGCCTTTTGGAGAACTTTAGAACCTTTGAAGTCCAACTTGGCATTTATTGTGACTTCTAAATCTTTGTAGGTTCAGGAAGACCCAGCTAATGAAACTGGAAAGAAAAAACATTCTGAAACCTTGTTTAGCAAAATGAGCTTTACAGCAAATTTAGCAAATCTAACATCTCTTAGAATTAATAATTTTATTTCATCAATATTTCCTATTGTATGGTCTTCAATAATGTTTTCAAATTTATATACCCAGCTTCAAAATCTGAAAATGTACTTTTGTCAATATGGCTTAAGTCACAAACCAATTTGGGGACTGAACATTTAAATAGAATTTTGAAATTAGTCCTTTTTATATGTATTTTAACACCAAATGGTCTACTTTTGGAAGATCTAATTGTGTGCTATAATTGTTTTGTTGGTAGTAATCATGTAATAGAGGTTGTTAGATTTCCAAGAACTTAAATGCTATTCTTGAAAATATTTTAGTCCTGAAATTTGTTTCTTTTCTGTAAGTTTGATAGTTATAATCAAATGGAATAAAACAGTAAACTTCCATGGAACTCAGTACTTCTGAGGATTTATCTCAGCTCTTAGAATTTAATTCAAAGATTGTATAATAACGTAAATTTTAGATGCCAAAATTTCCCTTTTAACCATGTCATAAAGACTGATTTTTGTGGATTCTTTTAAATAAAACTGGAAACTTAAACTAGTAAGAGTAGTAATCTGTAATGATTACATCATCATGTAAACTCAACTCCTCTTTTTCTTGCCTCCTTCCTGAGCCACTGCAAAGAGCACAGATAGTTATGTTTGCTTAAATATTCTGAGACATCAGTGTTCTAATTGGCTGTAGGAGAATGAATAAAAAACCTTAGGTCTGTTCTTCTGGCTCCTATAGCAAGCACACAAGCTCTGTAGAGCTTTCAAAACCCTCTAGGGTAAAATACTGTCTTGGAAAATTAAAAAAGAAAAATATAGTAAACCATATATTTGTAAGGGAACAGTATCAGGAACTGGATTGTTGGTCAGAATTTCCTTATAGATGTTGACAGGGTGAAACTTTGGTAGTGTTATTCACAATGCATATGAAAATTAATATAGAACATTCCCTGACATAATATATATTGAAAGACAGAAACTACACAATTTGAAAATGTTCAGCTTTTTTTGCCTTGACTTTTTAGTTGTTTGCTGTCAAAAACTGTAATGTAAGAACAGTGAGATGAAAGGAAAAGGAGTCTGGTGCCTGTCCGTGGTGCCAGCAGGGTTTGTGTCCCAGTGAAGTGCCATCTGACAGGAGAGGGATGCCCTCTGCAGGCCTCTGGCCATCCCACACTGTTCCCTGGCAGATCCTTTAGAGCCAAGCTCTCTGGGAGCAGTGCATGGAAGAGAGCCCAAGCAAACCTTTCTGCCCTGGTGGTCTTTGTGTGTTTTTGTTCAGCATTGCGCCCCAGCTCCTGTGACTAAGCCACACTCCATAGCTGTTTAAAGGTTTGTGATGAGGAGTTGAGGTTTATACTATGAGCTGTTTTGGTGGAAAATTGAAGCCACACATTTGAATTGATCGAATGGAATTTGTGTTCCAATGCAGATGATGTTTTTGTTCTTACATCTGTTCAGTGCATTGGGAGTTTTGCAGACAGATGTTGTGCAGTGCCTCTCTAGCAGATCACACAAGCAACCTCATCTGGGAGTTACACTGTGCAGTGTGCAGCAAACTAACTCAGCTGTTCTGCTCCTCCTCTGTGTTCCAGGTGCTGGTTTGCCACCACTGAAGCTGGTGCACTCGTTCTGTGCCATGAAAGCAGACGAGGGCCCGTGCAAAGCCATCCACATCCGCTATTTCTTCAACATCAAAAGCCGCAAGTGTGAAGTGTTTGAATATGGTGGATGCCATGGCAATGAGAACAACTTCCCAACGCTGGAGGAATGCCAGGAGAAGTGTGTGGCAAAAGGCCAGTACCCATTCTCTCACCCCTCCTACCAAGTCTTCATTTGCATCTGTTATTTCTCATTCACATACCACTTGAATTTGGGAAGTAGAGGCACTCCTCAGTAATTAATACAGAAATATGATTCCTCTAATTATGTTCCCAAGTAGGTTGTAGTCATCTGAATTATTCTACATGGTGCAAGCAGACATTCAGGGTGTGGAAAGACAGGTAGGTTTTGTAGTGTACCTGTGGAATAGAGACACCAGTGCAAGGACTCTTATTTTCCAGCTGGAGCCCTGTTTTGGATGAAGTCTGAAGTGAAATTGATTTTGAGGCTGGACTAAGCTGGTGGGTAGCAAAGATGTCCTTTATTGCTTTCAGAGTGTCTAACCCCAGTTTTGAACCCAGGTTTGTCCTTTACTTGAGAAGCTGAAGTTGTCCAAAATTTTGGCCATCTTCTCTGTTTCAGCATAATTACTACTACAGTAGTAGATAATTCTCATTAAAAATGCCAGTTATAGGCATTTTTCAATTTTGTGTTGTTGAAACCTCCTCAGTTAATCATAGGAAAGAAGAAAATGAGATCTAACATGATGCACAGCACAATGTGCACCAAGGGCTTTGTGAATGCTGGTTTTGCTATTAAAATTCATCCTTGTAATTAAGATTTTCAGCATTGTACATGTTCCTCACACACCTGGATGAAAATTAGACTTGTATCCTCTAGTATTAGCATAGGCCTCTTGCAAGCACAGGCAGTTCTTACAGGTTACAAAAAATACTTCCAAGAAATGTTGGATTAGAAAATGGATTTCACAAGCTCCTATTTGGGTTTTCTGACCAAACCTGGCTGTGTATGTGACAAGGTAATTTATAGCTTCAGGTTTTGTCTGGCAACAAATGCAAATGTCTCTTACCTATTTTTCCATCTCTTCCAGAATTTGTCTACACAGTGTTTAGATCAGGCTTTAAATCTGTTACATTGTCTGTTTTTAAACACATCTGTATTTCCTGATCAAAATTATTCTGCTAATTTATTTAGAAATCTCAAAGTATGTGTCTCCCACCCCAGTGTTACAATAATGGCTGGAGCTGGTTGCACATTACCCAAAGTAGTATTTCAAGAGTGTTTGTTAGTTTTAATGCCTCTCAGTTTTATCAATCTGCAAATGTTAGTAAGCCATTTCCATATTCCTTGAAAGCATCCCTGATCTTAATGCCTTTGGTCTTTCCCAAGAGGAGACTTCACACATTTTATTTACTCCCCACATATTAACTCAAGATATTATTTACCTTTCAGATCTATTTTTCTGATCTGCTGGTGCCACCATAATTTCTGTTCAGTTAGGTTTTGCTTTTAAACAGCTGTATGCTTATAAAGCTCTTTCTATCAGGATGGAAAAAAAAAATACTACAAAGTTTCACTAAAAATTGTCAAAGTCAAAAACGCTACTTGATTTTCTTAAGTGGATGACAATTTTCCAGTGCATTTAACTCCAAGGATTAATTTGAAACTTACCTTTTGGTGGTGTCTGGACAGATCCCACTGATAAGCCTCAGAGACCAGAGGTGCTCCAGGGAAGAAATGGCAAGGATCAGTCATAGCCTTGCTCTGTTTCTAGATGCAATACATGGGTAAACACAGTGGTAATGATATTAAAATAATATTAATTATTAAAATGGCATCCCATCAAGAAAGAGGTATGTGGAAATCACAGTTCTTTAGGTACTAAACAACATAATCTAGCATTTCAAGATAAAAGAAAAAAAAAAAAAAGGGAAGACATGAAGAAAAGCATTTTGCCCTAAATGAGAGCACGCACAAAGTTCAGGAACCTCTGTCCTACTTGGATCTGAAACGGATCTTAAGCAAACTCTTCCTGAAGTGGCTGGAAAGGGAAAGAACCTTTATATTAATGAATTTCTTTTTATGTTGAAGTCTCAGATACTTCCAGAAGTGCAGATTACTATTTTGGTGCTCATTTACCTGTATTTGGTATTTTAGCAATTGGTAAGGATAAAAGCTGTTTACAACACTGTTCCTTCACCAAACTGTATTATTTGTGTCTTTGATTCATCATACCTGAGTTTAAAAAAATACCAAAGTAAGATAAAACTAAAGTCATGGGTTTTAAAATCTTCCTTAGAGAAGATTGTGTGGGAACAGATCTCATTTCTGGGCAGAAAATCAAACAGTGAAGGAATTCATTACAGATGATTAATCTGTTTCTAGTTATGACTCCACCAAGTTTAAAGAGTAGTCTTTCATGATAAAAAATTGAAAATTGTTTCCTTGAATAGCATTCAGTTTCAGAAAGACCCAGAGTCTAGGATGTGAATTAGCTCTTCTTTCTTTGATACCAGGCTGGCTTTTGGTGTTTCCAGCTAATATTTGGTTTGGGATTTCAGCAGAACCCACAGCATCTTTACTGTGCTTGGAGTGGGGTTATTTGCACCTGCCAGTATCTCATCCAAAACTTGACACTTCCTGTCACAGGAAATTTGAAGTGTTTGCCCTCAATTTCAATTTAAATCTAAGACAGAGGAATAAAAGGGAAAAGCCTGGGCTGATAGATGCAGAATTTGGAATGAAGTGTCCAAAAGTAATAATCAGGTGTTGTGAGTGAAGATTTATCACATTATTTCTTCCATCTGATGTTGCTGTTTTCACAGAATAAGCTGAGTTGGAAGGGACTCGGTGTTACTTTGATTCTCACACACATGTTGGATCTGGAACAGATCTGCTAGACCAAATCATGTACTGGCATATATTTGGCATAACTCTAGAGTATAAAACTGAAAGTTATTTAAAATGAGAACTGGCTTAGTGTCTACATCTTGGTTCTCAGCCCATGAACTCTTTTCTGTGTATGAGTAACAGTGATCCAAGACTTTCCAAAAGCTGGATCTGCTTGGAGGAAGAGGAGAAACAGAGGCTTGTGATCTCTGTATTCTCTGGATGGATAACAGCAGATAAAATGATTTGGTGTTACCTACAGTGTGCTGCAGGCCATCAGGCATAAAGCAAAGTAGACCTTTAAATTAATCTCTCTTGCTAACATAATACAGCAAAACCCTGTATAATTCTGTGAATTTTTCTTAACTCTAACTCGGTCTGTGCAGTATTGTAGTATATAGTTGTATTCATCTTACTTACATTTCCAGCATTTATTACTGTAGGAGATGACTATTTAGTGACTATAGAAATGAGTCTGAAGAGAGAGTATGAGTGACACAAAAGTGCTTAGAAATAAAGAAAAATCTGAAATACTAAATTATCACTTTGAAGAATGTGAAGACCAGTACTGACAAAAATCAGCTCAAGTGCAGCTATCTAATGTATGCAAAAATTCAGGAGAAATAATGTAATGGGTCAAAGCTTTTGATTTTCAATATTCAGAACAAATACAAGAATAAATGAGCCAGCATGAGGGAATTACCAGATTGGGATAATTTGTTAACAGTTTGGAATCAATAAGCCACCAGGCAGAACTGATGGACGTCAGAGTTGAGAGAGCCCAGGCTGGCCACTCTAAGGCTCTCCAAGACAATGTTCAGATTCAAGATGAGTACTTCTGAATCAAGCTTCCTAGAAATCAGCTGTGTTTTTTGTTTCTTGTGCCCAATACTCACAACTTCAGGGAATGAAAAGGTACTTTCTAAGAGGAATTTGCCTATAGGCTCCATTTTTTGCTGGATGTGAGTATATTCACAAATGTCATCACTTGAACAAAGACCTTAATTTTCAAGGTAGTGAATATAAATTTTAGACTAGTTAAGCTTACTACTACAGGAAAATACCTGCTGATAAATGGTTCTGGTCACAATGGCCATTTTAATGTCTATTTTTTAGAGTGTATCTACTAACAAATACACTTTGTTTACAAAAAAAAGAAAACAACTCAGATGTGGATTTGGATTTTTGACTGAAACCAGAAGCAAGTACACTGTTGACATGGTACGAAATACACTTTGTTTACAGAAAAAAGAAAAACAACTCAGATTTGGATTTTTGACTGAAACCAGAAGCAAGTACACTGTTGACATGGTACTAAGATTAAGATATTCTAGGCCTGTATAAACTCACAATAAAATTTTCCTTTTCTCTGCCAGAAGAGTAGAGATCACATGCCAAAGTATGATTGCTGATTTTGCCCTGAAGGGGACAGCTGAGTGAGATTAGTGAAATGGCCTGACGTGCGTGTCCGTGTTTAGGTCATGGGTTTAAATGCTGAGGGCCAAGCCTCCTGCTAATAGGAAAAACTGGAAACCTGTTCAAAGAAATGCTACATCACTCTGAAGTGCGTGCCATGTCTTTAATATTTTTTAAAGGGTAACAGCTGCATTGTCCCAGAGGTGGAAAGAAAAATGTGTCATGACAGAATTTCTACCCAATAGATCTGCTTTGAAAATATAACATCAGCAGGTTTCCAGAGAAAACTAGGGTAGAATTATGATTCAAAAGGGCAGTAAAGTACAAAACAAGAATTATGAAGCAATGCATAAAAGGTGACTAAGGCAGAGTCCAGAAGCTGCTGGCCACCTTTCTCTCAGCTGTCAAAATACTTGCGGCCTTTCTCAGACATTGCATGATCTGCTCTGCCGTTGGACTCCTTTGCAGCTTTATGATTAGACAGTCTCCTACAATGCGAAGTTTTGTTTTCAGTCTTTAAAAAGGTGCTTGGTGTTGAATTAAGATACCCAGTTTCTTGAGCTGATACAATAAAACCCAGGCTCCTGCATTAAAAATGGCAACAACAATTCTTCACTCCAGATCGTGCATGGAGGGAACCATGCAGACAAAGTTTTCGTCTACAGCCCCCTGGGATACCTGGGGATAATTGGCCAAAGGGGCCTTAATATCATTAACTGCACGAGGAAAGCTTCACTCAGGCCCTAGAGGGCAGAGCAAAGGGAATTTGGTTGGATGGGGGAAGCATTACTGCTCCAAAGTATGAGCTGTATTAGTATCTACAGCAGTCAGGCTGTTAGTCTGCTAATTATTCCTCTTTTGAGGACTGAGATGGCATGATGTGGAATCCTGGATGCAGTAGCAAGAGGAATAATTTCTCTGTTCAATTCCAAACTGGCATCATTTCATTTTAGTACTTGCTATATTTTCAAGTTTCGAATACAGCAGGTCCTCCTAGACAAAGGAAATGATACTTCAGTTCTCCACAATGAGCTTTTGTGCTATATCCCAAATACCGAGAAAAAAGAAAAGGAAGAAATTCTGTATTCTTGCTTTTCACTGCTCACTGTCACTGCTAAACACACTGGTATCACAGGTGAGACTTAACATGTCTGCTGGCAGAGTAAAGGGAATTGGGTAGGATGGGGGAAGCCTTACTGCTCCAAAGTATGAGCTGTATTAGTATCTACAGCAGTCAGGCTGTTAGTCTGCTAATTATTCCTCTTTTGAGGACTGAGATGGCATGATGTGGAATCCTGGATGCAGTAGCAAGAGGAATAATTTCTCTGTTCAATTCCAAACTGGCATCATTTCATTTTAGTACTTGCTATATTTTCAAGTTTCGAATACAGCAGGTCCTCCTAGACAAAGGAAATGATACTTCAGTTCTCCACAATGAGCTTTTGTGCTACTTCCCAAATACAGAGAAAAAACAAAAGGAAGCAATTCTGTATTCTTGCTTCTCACTGTCACTGCTAAACACACTGGTATCACAGGTGAGACTTAACATGTCTGCTTTTGCTAAATACTTTTATTTTTATTTATCTTGCAGAATTTCCTCAGAAGATGGCATTGGCAAAAATTAAGAAAGGTAATTATATTTACATCATAATGTAAGATTCTTCTATGACAATAACGAATGTATTTTCTTTTTTTGCTAGCTCAGAACAATATATAATTTGTCTTCTAACAAAAACAGCAATGTCAGTTTAAAATGAGTTCTTAGGCCAAATCTTCTTCTGTCTTCATCAAAGAATTTGAGGACAGTAGTGGTCACTGAAGATGGTAGCTGCAATCTCCTCTCCACAGAATAAATACATCATGATTCTTTTTCTTCAGTAAAAAGAGGGACTTGGCAGAGATTCAAGCATGGTATAATTAGCCACGATGGGGAGCTCTTATTGTGTATTTTGACAACAAGCTAAATGGTTTGCACTAAATACCTTTTTACTTTTAGAAAAGTAGGGAAAAAATGCTCTGAAACAGAGCTCTTTAAGCATTATCAGTGGAGGAGCTACCAGAGATTAGGCCAGGTGCCCTAATTGCAAATCAAACAAGGGAGCAAGTTTCCCATTCCTGAAGGGACAGAATTTTAACAGAACTTCAAATTTCTGATACCCCAGACTTCCAAAATAGCCAGTGCTAAAGTATTGGGAGTCCCTTACTGGAACACAGCTGGTCTGCTGAGGAAACTGTTCTTCCTAATGAGGATATTTCACTTTAACACTCAGAGCTTGTGAAGGCTTACCCTACCCTTCCCCTTTGCACATTGGAGATGTGCACCTGGACGGGGCCCACTGTGGGCAGCCAGAACTCCACAAACACAGACCTGAGTACACTTTTTCACTAGTCAGCTCCTCTTTTTCTGCTTACTCTCCTTCATCTCTCCTTCCACTCAGGACTTCTCGAATGGGTGTGCACTTAGCAACTTGCAGGAATGGAAACATTTGAAAATACATTTTGAAATAGACTATAATCAGATCACCTGTCTTTACAGAATGGTATTTGGAATATTTTCATATGAGATGATGGTTTTCTTTTCCTGTTTTCTACTGTCTTTTCTAGTCTTAATGTGTTAAAAAAAATTGTGATTATATGTGGAACCTACTAAGGTTGATTTTCCACACACACTGCAGTCTTTGGCACTACTTCCTTTAAGGGATGACTCTAATTCCCTGCTTTTAATGACAAACCAGAACACATCCTATAAAATTCCGCCCATGGCTATCATCAGCATTATTGCTCATGTGCTGTTGTTTCCAATAATGTAGTCTTGAATCTCAAGTCCTTGGAGAAAGATGTGGCATTTAGAAGTACAGTACTGGTTTGTGTGGTCAGGATTGTATTGCCTTTGTGAACTCTCTCTTCAAAAGTGACTATGAAAGTTAGCTATGAGCTCAGCTAATTTGGACTTAATTTCATTTGCAAGAGCCTGCAAGAACTATTTTAGTATAAGATTATTCTAAATTAAAGACACCTGTTTTTAAGAATCTGTCATAATCCTGTAGCCTACTTTGCATTCTCTTATTTTTATCTGCCTTTCTTTTTCAGTTAATATCTAATAATCTCATTGTGTTATCTCACAGTATTGTGCAATGTTTGAGAGAATTTTTTCTGCAGCTCCTGTTGTCTGTGAGCTCCTAGGAGATGGAACAGATACTCCTGGTGGAGCCTTGCTGCTCCCTGTCTAGGCACCTGTCTCACCTCTGTTTTCAGCTGAAAGCACAGCATGTGCCTTGCACACATTTCTCATAGTTATTGCTCCGTGTGGGCTTAGCTTTCAGAATCTGTGCTGCCTTTGCGTAGTGAGAGAGGTGGAGCACCTGAACTGTGGATTACACTTACTGGCAGAGAAACAAATTTGTAATGAAGAATCAAAATGAAGCCATTCAGGAATGCTGAAAACAGTTGATTTGGTTGCTTTATTCAAGAATATTTTAGTGATTTAATTTTGCATGCTGTGAATTATTTTTTTTTTGCTGTTCATGAAGTATTAGAAAAATTGAAATGCAGTATATTGCCAATTAATTCTTAGAAAAACACTCATTATGAGCTATTATAATACTTTGTATAAATTCAATGTGCATCAATACCCTCTAATAATCATGTTGTTCTAGCAATGAATTTGAATATGCACCTACCTAAAATAGGTGTAATGGGATTAACTTCTTTGCAAATTGATAACCTAATTCTAAAATGCTAGGAATTTCAAAGTAATTGTTCTATACATATATATATTTAGTGACAGCTGGCTGCACACCATTTTAGTCTCAGTATTTTGTGAATTTTCACAGCTAAGCAAGGCCTTTATATGTTACACCTACTAGGATTTTCTTATATGATGGTTAAGTAGACTTTTCTCAATAAGTCACCTCAAACAAGAATCATATTTCAAAATATCTATTATCAAGAACCTGTATATATTTCATTATTGCTACCATGATTTTAAGCATACTATTTTTAAGGAAAAAACTGAATATGGTGAGGAGTTGACTTCTGGGGATTGTCATATCGCTGTGTGTTTTTCTTCCCTGCCAAAGGATGTGATATCATGCTGTGATATTCAGTCAAATTATGCAATATTCATTTGTTAACTTTTCCTTGGTTGATATTGTAGTTAGTGATTGCAAACTCAGAACTGGGACTGAAATAATGTAGAATAGCTGCTCTGTCTCCCTGCTTCCAGTATCCTTTTATAAGGACAAATTGCACTGCTAGATGCAATTTTTCTGTTCTATTTTAAAACTTCTTCCTTTTTTCTTATATTTGAACATTGCTTTGTGTTAACATTGAGTGAAACATAAATAACAAGGATGTGTACTTAGGTGCAAGTGATCCAGCTGAGTTTCAGGCTTTCTTCAAAATCAGAATAAAAACTAATTTTCAGCTTAGAACGTCAATGTTTTGGAATTTTAAGGACTCATCAGTTGAAATTTTTCAAGATGGAGTTTAGTGGCTACATGAACAGAGCAATAAATAGCTCTCTAATGTTCCAGTTAATTTAATTCCAGTTTATATTAAATATAAATAAAAAATCCAGTTTATATTAAATATAAATAATTAAATATAGAACAAAATAAATAATTGCTATAATTAAATAATATATCGTATAATACAATATATTATATATAATTATATTTACTGGGTTTTATAATAATTATTGTATTTAATAGTTTATTCATATAATTATTCAATTAAATATTATTACAATTAAATAAAGAACAAAAACAGCACAAAAAAGCAGCAGTTATTTTATAGCTGGATTTTAGCCCAAAGTCACAGGTTTATTTTGTAAACTTTCTCCAGTTCTGCTGTTGTCTTGGGATGCATTTTAGTTTTTTTCTTCCCCCACCCTGTTGATCATTTAGGATTGTTTCTAGGCCAGCCTGACTTCTGCTTCCATGCCCAAGAGCCGGGGATCTGCCGAGGGTATTTTACCAGGTACTTCTACAACAAAGAGACAAAACTCTGTGAGGCATTCAAGTATGGTGGGTGCCTAGGAAACCAGAACAACTTCAGGACTTTGGAGGAGTGCCAGACTACCTGCCAAGACAGCTGTGAGTTGGTTTTAATCACTCTTCGTTTTACTCTTGTATAAAAAATGGTGTGTTTTGAAGGTGTTTTGCGTGGAAAAAAGGCAATTTAGGGTGCCCTGAGGTGGCAGTAATTTGTATATGAAATATATAACAATTATACATATTTTTAAATAAAAGTACCAAAATATAAAGTACGGAGTAAAAAATTGGTAGGTACTATTTAAGGAATATTACATGACTCCTATGTTTTTACTTTTCTCATGACAGCTACCCTAAAATCTGCCATTTGTTTGGCTTTATAGTACCATGAAACACTTCTGTATGTTTTTAACCCAAAGGTCTGCAAGTAGTCCTTTCAAACCAAGTCTTGTAATGAAAGAGATGCCCATATAGGAATTTTTAACTCACTGTGTATTGCTAGCTTCCCACCAAAGATTCATGGAACACATGGAACATGTGTGTCCCTTGGGAATGACTTGGCTTTGCACCTTAGGCTACCAAAGCCATTCAGACTGACCACAGACCAGTCATTTCCTTCCTTGTCCTGCTTATTCCAATAAATTATTCTACGTCAGGATACAGTAACCTTCAGAGCTCCTCTCCCTTCACCAAGTGCCTCATTTTATTCATGATGTGAATACATTTTCCCATCGAGAGCCTCCAGACCTTTTTATCTTGCTTGTCTCTAGTGGGCCTTTTTCCAGCACTGTTTCATAAGCTGTCATTTTGGCAAGGGGAACTTGAGCTTATTGACACTTAGAGTAGAAAAGACCCACTATGCTTATTTTTAAAGATTTTTTTTTTAGATTATAAAGATAGACCCATGTGGTGTTCCCCTACATTTGCTGAAACATTTCTTCCTGGGCTGTGATTCCACTTTTACCTTCTGGACTAAAGGCTGCAGAATATTATTTTTCATGACTTTAGTCTAAAATAACACTTTTATGTAAATTTGCATGGACACAAGAAGAGAGGGCTGCCATGGTCTAAATAGATCAAAGCTTTTATTTTTGAGATACTGAGTCATTGACACCGATTTTTGTTTGGTTTTTCTTAACAGTTTTCACTTCTTTTTTATTTTTTTTTTAATTTAGCAAATTTATTGCCAGCTGTTACAGCTGAAGAGCATCCCAGCTCTGTGAACAGCAGCTCCCCAACAGAAGAACATCCCAGCACAGTGAACAGCAGCTCCCCAACAGAAGCACCCAGCCAGTCTCCTGGGATTTTTGGTAAGAATTTCCTTTTGCTGTTCATAATCAAGCCTTTGTTGTTCCTTGATTTGTCCACTGATTTTCCCCATTTATTTGTATGTCACTGGAAATACCTGAGGACAGGGAAGTCATTAACATTAAAAGAAGCTTCAGAGCCACTTTCTTGCCAGCAATACTTATTTTGCAAAAGGCTTACAATTGCAAAGGTTAGAATGTCTGCTGGCAATATAAAAATAACCTTACCAAGCTATGTATGATTTAAATTTTGCATCAGTAAAATTAAGGAAGAAAAAGGAACCCATTGCAAAGTTGTTTCAGCAACCTGAGTTTCCTGAGCCTTCAGGCCTTAGAGATGTTGCTTGGCAACTGGCATCAGCAGTGGGTGTGAGCAGGGCCAGCAGGTACCAACCACAGCTGATTTCCAGAGCTTGGATGTGTCTACACCCTTGACTGTTTCACACCAACTGTCTCTATTTTTTTTTTTTTCTTTTAGTTAATTTGTTGCCAGCTGCTCCAAATGACAAGTCCAATGCCCTGAACAGGAGTTCCCCAGAGGAGGAGCCCAACCAGTTCCCCATTTTTTTTGGTAAGAATTAGCTTTTGCAGTTTTTAGTCTTTTACATGGATTGCATTTCCGTTTCAACCCATTTACTGACATACCTGAGACTAAAGAATGGGTTTTGATTTTAACCAAAGGATTTGATAAGCAGAGAAACTGAAAGCAAAAGAATATGTCAACTTGTGGATCTCTCATAAATATCAGCAAGTGGAAGACTGACGTCTCTCTTTAAAAAAGTGTGAACCTCCTAAAGGCTCGATTAATACAAAGAGGAAAAGCAGTGATGCATAATTCTTTCAATCTGAATTAATATTTTTGTGAGGATCTAATAGGGAATTGATTTAAATTCCTTTCATCCATTAAAAAAGAATGACATTTGGATTTTAGAACATAGCATAGTATAATATATTTAATACTGTAATGTTTGTATTTTCACTGTGACCATATTAAACTCACTTTTGGGTTGAGTCTAATCAGAGTGAGTATGAATTAATTTTAAATGCTTTAGTTAATTTAATTACTTTTAATTTCATTAATTTAAAATGTTGCTCCAAGGTATTTTTGCACTATGTATTATAAAAATGCAGATGGGACTCTGGACCTTTGCTGAGGAGGGATAGGCTTTAACAGCATCAGCAGCTGGACACTGTCTACTGTAGGTGGCTGCTGCTTGCTCACACTGTACAGGGTGATTTAATTTGAAGCGTGTTGTTTTTATGATCCACAGTTGTGCAAGAGGAAGCAACAAACAGTTGGGAAGACCCTGAGCATTCTCACCAAGTATTTATGTTGGTTTTTTGCTTTTGCACTTGCTTGCACTTTTGAGGACTGAGTGATGACACAGAGGCTCACTAAGGTTTTTGTATTTTGTATGTTCTGTAAGATAACAAGTGTGTAGGTGGCATTCCTGCACTCTTTGCTTAGAATGGAATGTCTAATAAAGCATGAGTGTGTGCTGTACCTTGTTTTTTGCCTGCACTGTAATCTACAGGCACTGCTGGTTTGATGCACGTTTCTGTACAGTTGTGTTGTTTGTTTACCACATGCGAAGCATCAATGCACTCTGGTATTTAAATGAATGAATATGAAACAGTAAAGCTTTTGGCAGCCTATTTTACTGAAAACTATGTGAATTACATCAGCTCTGGCAATAAGTCTGGGGGTATTAAGGGGCATTCCCTGAAGGTTTTTATTCATAGTATGAATGCCTGAATCCTCCAAACAGCTAACTCATACCAGGAAAGGAGCATGCCTCACTATGTTTTCTCAGAGGAAATGGAAGGGGTTTTGATTGTGTCAGCAATAGAGAATTTTCCTGCACAGCAGACTTTGAGGGTATGAGAAAGAGAACTGAAGATTGATGGAACAAAGAGTCAGTGTAGCAGAAGGGGTTGGGTGAGAAGCACAGCCGTGGAAGGACCAGGGAATTTCAGTGCAAAGTCTGAAGACCCAACAGGTTCTTCCTGATTGTGTGACTTTGTCTTGCCCTTGTCTGTCTCATGCAGCCTCCTGCTCCTGTTCTGTTTATCAGCTTGTGCCCTTCAGGCTGCTGGAATGGGCTACAATCAGGTGCTTTTGTGCAGTCCCACTAGAGGGGAAGGCTAAAGCTGACAGCTGATTTCTCCACAGAGACATGGAGAATATTGTCTCCATTGCTGCTGTTTCTAGAGGTGCAGCTATCAAGTGAACTTCCAAGGCAGAGACAAGTCACATAAATGTGCAGGGTAACTGTCTTTCACTTTCTGTAAGGACTAAGCTATTACAGTGACAGATCAATTTGCCTGTGCTTGAGGAGAGGGGCATCAGCCACTGCTTCCCAAACAGTTCACCCTGATCCTCACCTCGTATGTAAAGTCAAATTCTATTTGCTAAGTATATTGGCCTGGCTATGTATCTTTTTCAAAGATCTTTTAAAAAATTAAATATAATTTAGTTACTTTACATTAAGAAATGAAAAAAAACTTACAAGAAGTTGTCTCTTATAGAATACCTCACGTCACAATTGACATGATATTTCGTCTTGATCTTAATAAAAAAAAGGGTTTTTTGGTATGTGTAACTCTGTAACAATATCTGATTTTCAGATTTACAATATAGTTCTTGATCTTCAGAAGATTAAACTGTTCTATGACCAAATAAAGCAAACCATGGATACAGACATGAAGTTTCTAGCACTCTCAGCAATGAACTTTCTGCAGAGATTCAAGGTTGTTCTGGTCTCACTCTGCTGAAACATCTATAATAACTTTTACTCTCTGCAAACTGAGAAAGAGTGAGGCTAAGAATCAAAGCTTTCATTTCATGTGATCTATGGTAGAAAATTGCAAGCACTATACCTACATTTGATTTGTGAGATTTGAGTGGGACACAGGATCAAAAGTCAATTTTCAGCTCAGCAAATTTGGAATAGCACAAGGATGCAGGTCCTGTGAGTACAGAGTCAGGGTCATCTTTTGCTGGTATAAATTGGCACAGTTGTATTTGCTTTAATGGATCTGCACCAATTTATACCTGTGGATTACTGTCAAGTGCAGATGACTCGTTATTTTTGTAATAGCCTGTCCACTTGAAGATTCTTTTATTTTCGCTTTGCTGCAACCAGAAATGAGGAGCTGAAGTCTGCACATATTGAAAATCTCGCAATAAACCTGAAGCTTCATGAATGTCACACACTCATGTCTAGGCAGAAGTAGTGCTCACTGCACTTTCCCTTTCCTCCCGAGATAATTCCAAACTTGTTTTCTAGTGTCAATAATTAGCAGTCTGCTGTCACACAAGCCCTGCAAAGCCTGAGGGATAAGGATTATTGTTGCAATGCAGAGCTTGGGGCTCTTTCTGATAAATGGGTCTGTATCTGGATGTGCATTTTTCAGAGATTCTGAGATTAATCTCTGATTTTTTTGGAGATTATGATCATGTCATGTGTTTATACCTCAGGGCGATGGGATTCAACAAAGGGCTGTATTATAGGAATTGAATCTTAAACCATACAATGTTTTTTTATGTGTTCCTTTTTATGTGTTTTTGTGGCTTGTGGGACTTTTACTTCTTTCTTTTTTCTTCATAAAATAAGCAGGAGAGAACTTTTCAACAACTCTCAGGAAAATGGGGTTGTGAAATGGAATAATTTGGGAGAGAAACTCAAGAATAGGCATAACAGCTCAATTTTCTGTTCCATCACATCCATAAATACAGCACTAGGAACTGGAGCTGAACAGAAACAACTCACCTGCTGTAATGATCTGGTGACATTGTTTACACACTGCCTCACAGGCTTTCACATTGTCCTGCCAATAGACACACTGGGAATGACACAGGGAATGTTTTCTGCTTACATGAAGTCAAGTCTTTTAGTAATCAATACATTCAAATAAATTTATAATTTTATACTCTTCAGCATAGAGGAAATTATGATAAGTTATTTAGTTTTTATTTTAAAATACTGTTTTGTTGGAAAAAATGGCTCTAGGTAGCAGAATTAAGAGGTTTTCTTCACAGGCTGGTTGTATCTATAAGTGAAGAACATGCAGATATTTTGAACATAAAAAAAGGAACAGTGTTTGGTATTTAGGGCATTTATGTGACAGTAATATAGGCAAGGAATAACATAATTTTTTGGGGAAGAATACAAGAGGGATTCTGAATAGCACCTGGCTCTCTCTGGTGCACCGTACATGCACAGGCAGTCCTTGCTTGCCTCATCGCTGGCTCCATGGTTCCCCCAAATCTTGCAGTCATTGAGGGAACTCCTTCATGAGGGGACTGTGGACTCCCTGGAGAATTCTACATGACAGATAAGTAATGTACATTACAAAGTGTGTATTTGGATTCTCTGTTATAATTAACAAGCCTGTGCTGTTTGGCCCTTTGCTCACTGGCAAGCCTTTCTGCTCTTTGTATGTTCAGAAATTAGCAGGTTTAAATAGGTGAGCATACTTTGTATGTTCAGAAATTAGCAGGTTTAAATAGGTGAGCTATGCTGAACATTTGCTTTGGAAACTAACATCCTCTCCAGCTACAGAAAGATGAAATCAGCTCCAGGCTCAAGAGTTTTCAGAGCAGTACCAAAAGCATTCCCTGGTTAATTTAACTACCATCTTCATTATAAAAAAACCACCAGGTTTAATATAGATTTTATCAATTGTGGACTTCTATTCTGAACCCAGAGTGAAACTTAGTCTTGCAATTGTGAAAAGAAGTTAAGAGGTTCTTATTTTATAACTTGAAAGTAATTTAGTCTATCTCGAAAAAAGCAACTCATTATTCGGTTTTTAAATTTCAGATTTTTTTTTAATAGTATGATGTTGCTAACACACCACTCTATTTCTTTTCCCAGCAGTTTGTCATACTTTTTCAGCACACCATTTCAGCTATTATACATTTCAGATGAACCTTTTTTTAGCAGCTGTACCACAAGTAAGACACCTAAGATGTAGCACATGCTTTTTGGATATTTTTTCAGCCTCCTTCGTTGCCCAGGTTTTAATGCATAACTTCTTGCTTTCAGCAGCTTATCTGCTTCCCACTTTTGTGACCACAGGATGTCTCCAGCTTTGCTGTAACCCAAATGATTTCCTCAAATGTTTACTGTGTTTTTCCACTGAAGTCCTTCTGTGTGGCTTTCTATCTTCAAGAGTTCACACTTGCATTTATGCATTCATTTATTGCATTTATGTACCCAGTTCTGCTGCTTTCTGAGGAAAAATGGTGCTCTTTTGGGTCCCACATAACTGGTGATAGAATGGCTCCCATTCAGCTTCTTGCAGCCTGTGCAGCAATTTTATCAGTTCCCATTTGTATATTTGTCACTCTGGGGTGATAGATGATGGAGTTCTTGCAGGTTTGGGAATTCTGGCATGGATTTCTTCCTGGGCTTGTTGCAGTGCCCAGGTCCTTTGGCTACCTCAGGTTCATCCTCCAGTGTTTCAGTTCTCACTTGCAGCCACGCTGAAGGAGCAAACCACCAGCCTCTCCTTGGAATGGTAAAATCCTGCCAGCAGCACTAACACACCAGCATCTCCATTAATTTGTGGACTTGTTCTTCGCATTCAATCCTGTTTTTTTATTCTGCAAGTTGCAGGCTCTTGTTTTATAACTGCTCAATGGTTGCTGACAGACACTGTTACTTAGGTCAAGTTTTCTGTAGGCATTCAACAGACTCAGCACTGAGATATTGAATCTTACACTGGAAATGCTTTTACCTTCTCCTTGATTCCAGAATGCCTAGCACTAATTTGCTCCATTAATTATTAGAAATATTCACCATATTTTTCAAGTTGTCCACGTTTAATTTATTTCACATCACTTTCTACAAATGCTTCACTTGAAACTCCTCAAAATTAATTTGTCTGCTCTCTTCTATGGCAGAAATGGCAATTTTATCACTCACAACACAGGTAAAGGTATAGCTTTCAGGTAAACTTTCACTGGCAATCCAAAGACAGAATGATGTTTTACTGTGCTATTATTTGTTTGCAATCATAAAAAGATGCTTATGCCAAGTATCTTGGATTTTCAGGAGAGCAGAATTAAATTGGCCAGCAAAAAAAATTCAAATAATATTGACATAAAACTGCAATGCTACAGTTGTCTCACCTTATGTTTTTGGTACTTCCAGAACCCCCTCCTATCCCATCCTTGTGCATGACCCCCATGGACAGAGGGCTTTGCAGAGCCAAAGAATTAAGATTTTTCTACAACTTCTCGACTGGAAGGTGTCGCCCATTTAGCTACAGCGGTTGTGGTGGGAATGAGAATAATTTCATCTCCAGAAAGTCGTGTTTGAGGATCTGCAAGAAAGGTATGGGAAGTGATACTGCCCCCGGCTATCCTTCAGAGGTAAATATTGTGCGGGTCAAAACATTCTCTTGCCGCTTTTGGTAGTAAGGATTGGCCTGATCACACGTAGGAGTTGGGAGTCTCAGACAAGTGAAAACAGAAATCAGGAGAGATACAGAGCTAGAGAGAGAAGGAGGGACAGTAAGTGCAGTGTAAAGGAACAGCAATAACACAACTTGGCATTGGTCAGGCATATGAAGATTTTAGGTAAGACAATGTTTTTTTTCTTTTTTTTTTAAGATTAATTGAAACAAGCTTGTCATTTATTTATGATAATCTTGGATGTCTTCTAATCTTGCTTTGTTTACCTTTAGGATTCAATAAGAAAAAAGGTGAAAGAAGATTAATAAAAATCAAGAAAAAAAGAAAGAAACAGCCAGTAAAGGCTCTGGATATGGAAATCATCCCTGAAATAATGCAACTTTGATTTTTTAAATGGAAATGTGATGTAAACTGATCTTCACCTGTGAATGAAAATCTTCAGTGTACACCATTAAAATATATTTACTGATTATTTTGATTATATATTACTAAGCTGCTTATTTTTTTATGTATTCCTCAATCATGATAATAAACATTACCTCTTACTTTGCTAAAGACTTTTAAATTGCAATTTGCTTGTATGTAATTGTCAGAGCTGCAGCAGGACAACAAACTACGTGAGTGAATGGTTAAAATGCAGAGAAAATTCAGATTTAATTTCTTGCCCCATTATTCTTTTTGAATTCCATTTTTGTACTAAAGAAAGCATAATACTTGTGAAAGAATAATCACCAGTCAAGCACGATTGTTTCAATTATCGATTCAAAGATAGGTGTATTGCTATAAAAAGGAAATAGGCACTGGATTTGTTTTAATCAGATTTATTTTAGGTTGTGCAGGCTAGATTTAACTCCATTGAAGTGAATATAATTACAGTACAGTAAAATGAATATGAAATCGGAATTAACCCACCAAAATCCATAAAGGGTGTGTTAAAGCTGTGTGGCAAATTTTTCGAAATATTTAAAATTGTATGTGTTGGGGTCATTGATTTTTATCCTTGTTACTGATCTAGACTCATGGCTAAGCTTTACTGCCGAAATTGTGAAAAATTGGCATTCTAATACCAGAATAAGGGGATAAGTAAAATCAGATTTTTATATTGAAGTCTTATCCTAATCTCTTTCCTGGTGCTGAAGTCCTTTCATGGCTCTTTCAATCTAGGTTGCATTAATTCTGGCTTGAAAGATTCTCAAGGAGCAGCAGTGTACAGCAGAGAGCACTTATGTAGAGCCTTGTCCTGTAAAATGTATAAGCACCACAGACTACCGCTGCAGTAACCACATAAATGAAGTGCAGTTCTGCCAGGAAACCTGTAAACTCCACAGAATTAGCCTGGCACTTTTTGACTCCCTGTTTCAGTTTCAATTTGCTGTCTTCCTGTTCTGGTTCATCCCTCTGCCCTTTCTCTCCAGGTTTTCCTGTACCAGGAGCGGAGTCTGTAGGTGTGGGTGCCCTGCACAGCAGCAGAGCAGTGGGGTAAAGACTCAGACCAGCTGGAATCCCTCCTTGCAGATAAGTGGAGAACCCATGGATTAAACTACTCCCAGAACTCTCCACTTGTGCCATGGCACCTGCCTGAGCACAGCAGGTCATGTGGCCTCCCCAGGGAGCGTGGATTTAGGCACATTTGGGGTGGGAGGGTCAGGATTTGCCCTTATGGTTACCCTGCTTCCACACTGGCACTGCTTGTGTCTGCCTGGCTAGGGATGCAGTGAGGGCACAAATGTCTGCACCTCCCCTTGTCTGCATCTTATGGTCAAGCCAGTAAAAATATCTGATCTTCCACTCTTAGCTGTAAAAATTTCCCATGGGCTGCCAGTATTAAAACTTACATAATTGCTAGATTGTGTGATGTGCCTCCAAGGGAGACCGAGCTGAGGTGACTGCATTAAACTAAAACATCTAGGGCTTTCCTGTAAAAGACAAGGAAACTCATTAAGCCATCCCACAAAGAACATTGAAAAGGATTTGTAAGCTTTGAGATTGATTAGATTACAAACTAGAATGATGAAGTTTCTAAAACAATGTTTTGAAATTAGACAGTAGATACAGAAGGACAGGAAGGAAAAGATGGCTCTGTATGCAGATTGTCTTGTGATTCCTGTGTCATTTCATGACAGTGTCTCTCCTTCAGGCTCCCTCTTGTTCCAGCAACTTGTCCCTGGCTGCCTGGACTCAACACCTACAAAACCTACATGGGAAAAGAAATCTAGGGAAAGAATCATCCTTTCTGTCCCAGCAGAACCCTGGCTCTGTGGCTGCTCTCCATTTCATAAGCTTCCTTCTTGCTGAGCTCTACTGCCAACTAACAGGGTCTCCTCCCTGAGAGGGATCAGTTGCTCCCAGGACTGCTGTAGCTAGGACAGGACTGACAGGTACTCTCCCATCCTCTCCTACCCTGTACTGAAGAAACTTCTTGTGCTGCTGTAGTACATTTTGTAATAACAGCAATTAAGGGATCCAGCGAGGTCTCTGTTGTGTCACTGTTCAGACAGAAGGGAATTTGTACTGCTAGCATCTCCAGAGTACCTCTTTTTCAACTGAGAAAACATTTCACCGTGATTCATCTGTCAGATTTGTTACTCAGTGCAATGAGAATCAAGGCTGCAGTGTCACAGACTGTAAAAACCTGATTATAATCAAGGTTTGATCAGAGAGTGCAGGCTGCTCTCAGCTGTGTGTGCACTCAGTTTGGCTGCCACACCAGCTATCCAGCTGTTTCTGTTTTTGTTTAGCTCTACAGTACATAGAGCTATTTTTTCCCATAAAAAGTCCAAACTGCATTGTGATATGATCTTCAACATAGCAAGAGGTTTCTTTTGTGCCCTTCTGCTTCATTCACTTCTCTTTGCTCCTGTACTCCTATAGCTGCAGAACAATCAAATCCAAGACTAAGAAGAAAAGATCCATGCATTTCCCAAAGGCAACTAAAGGATGAACAGGGACAGAACTGAGGCACAACACAGGAAAAGGTATGGATCAGGGGCCAGAATGCCAAAGCAGTCGGAACATGAGGCTGTGCTAATGTTAGAGTGACTGTACAGTTCCACTTGATAGGAGTCCATTCATCCAGTCATTTCATTCCAGAATGTTCTCCAGTTGCTTTGGAGAGGAAATGTAGAGTGCTGTGAAATTTTTCCCATGCTGTGTGATAACAGCCAACAAGGTGAAGCAGTTTCACAGAGGTTTGAGGAGTTTCCATATATCATCTGACCTGCAATAACTTGTTATGTGCCCTTAATCCACACAAATGATAAAATATCTTTGAGAAATAGTCCTTTTCTTCATTCTTTTTTTCTTCACATTTTTACTTGTATGCCCTCCTTTTTCTGCTTTCATTTTCTACCTCCTGCTTCAGTTTTATTTCTGGTTCACTTGAGCCAGAATTTCTCCTGCATCTCCAATCCACTCTCAAAGCTGATAGATTTTTATTTACATTTTGAGTAAGTCCTTTTCTTTCTAGCTTCTACCTTCTGAAACTTAGTGAAGGGGACCTAAGGGTTACATTTCCTAACCTGTTGTTTTCAATGGTGTCTCCAAAGAGCGAGCGAGATTCAGGTAAAGCAGAATTGTGTGGTTACACAGAGCGTAATTCCTGAATTAATTATTACTGAATTAATTAATTCCTGAATTAATTAAGGGGGTGAATCCTTGTGCGGAGCTTCCGCGCCTGCGTTTATGCCCCGAGCGGCCGCGAGAGGGCGCCGGCGGCGCGGCGAGCGCGGGGCGGGATGGCTCTGATGGAGCAGGGGGAATTCACCGGATTTACCCTCTTTTCTCGCTTTTAAGCCTTCTTTGGTCCCAATGCAGGGAGCTTTGCACATTTAGGTCTCCTTGAACTGCTCCCTCCTTCGCTGTCGGCAAGCAGGACGGCCTGTAAGGGTCTGGTTTACGCTCCTGGCAGCCAGGGGATGGGAAGATGCAAGTGAGACACTGCTCTCAGAAGTGCAAACTGCACCAGCTGAGGGGTCTCGGGTATCTGTAGGGCACGAGTAACCAAGTTTTAACGTTACCTAAATCAGTAGAATATAAAACTTTGTAAAAATAAACCCCAAAGCCCTCCAGAGCAAGCAACCAACTGAAAAAAAAAAAAAAAAAAAAAAAAAAAAAAAAAAAAAAAAAAAAAAAAAAAACAAACCAAAACCACCACAAACAAAAGTGCTCACTCAAAACTCCACTGACTTTGACCACCCAAATCAAACGTAGCCTGTGTAATATGTATCCAGCTAATTCAGGAGCTGTGAGCTTGGCTGGAATACATGGATTATTATCTAAGCTAGAGTGTATAATGTACCCTGTTGCAATCTACAACCTAGACCTAATTGGTGTAAAGCAGTGCCACCAGGCTCACTCCTGATGATATTCCTGTATCTGAGATGACACCACGTCTTTTAGAGAAGTTAATTTCCATCACTGTTCAGAATAAGAGCTAATCCCCAGTTTATATGTGTTAACATTGCCTAGAGGTTTAGAGTGCCAGTCCTTAGTTCTTCACTGATTATAGAACTCAAAAATTCTCCTGTTGATGAGAGATCCTAGAAGCACCAACTCTCACATGTGCCAAATCAGTATCCAAACCTGCTTTTTTGGTAACCCTGGAGTGGGATTTCACAAATTGTATTGTCTAGGGGCCATTTGAATTTTAAGTATTCCTGGCCCTCTTTTCCCTCTTCCAATTTTTCCTAACCCTGGATTGGGGCTGGGTTTTGTTTGAAGTTTTTTATTTGTTTTATGGGGGTTTCCCCCTTCGCTTTGTGTTTTTTGCTGTTTTCCTTCTTGAGGAAAATGTTTTCAATGCCCAGGTAAATTCCTTCATTCAGTTCACAGTGAGTTCCACAAATGATTCTGCTGGGGGAAAAAAAAAGTGGACAAGTGGCAGGTAGCGAGAAACAAGCAGAATATTTTATGTTGTTTTTTGAGCAAATTCAGTGTTATAATTTTGATAGATCCTTGTCACAATGTGATTTTTGGGAGACTTTTGTGGGGTTCCCTAAGGAGTACTGTCACAGGTATTCATGTAATTTGAGTTTGATGCTCCATGATCTCCCTGCTTGTTCAGCATAGGGTTGTCCTGTGCATAAAGTGACTGGTTATTGGTTTAGAGGGCACATATTCCCTGCCCATAGTACAGGGAATTGATTGTACAAAATTGATTGTTTCTGGTACAATATTCTTTGAAGCTTGTAGAAAGAATGCTATTAATTTTGTTTTGTCCTCTGTCATTGCAGTTTTCAAACCATTCATACTTGTGCTTTCAAATCACCAGTGTTTAGAAAAAGATAGCATGGAGATCATCACTAACAATGCTCCTGTTGCTTTTTTTTTTTTTTTCCTACCCTTGATAATTCAAAGACTTATTTCTTTAAATACTTTGATTTGCACCCAAGAAAAAAATAGTGGCACTATAAATGATGTGCCCGTTTGTAAGTGAAAATTTGAATCTGACCTTTGCAGCTGCCTTACATCTGAGGTAATACATGAAGGTATTTCTGTGCAGAGCTTTTCAGCCCTTACGCTATGGGGTGTCTGGCAGCCGCTGGCAGAGGCGGTGGGTCAGGTCGGTGACACTGAGGAGGAATGCATCTCTCCAGTGCCCTTTGAATAAAGGTCCAAACTAATCTGTTTCTATGGGTCTAGCTGGAGGAGGAGGACGAATCTCAGTGGCTCCATACGTGAAAGGACAGGTCCCGTGGTCTCCTCCTCACCAGCGGAGCAGCGAGTGAGTGTTTTGAGGGCAGTTCCGAGCGCCGGGCGGGCGAGCGGAGCCGCCCGGGGCCAGGTGCGGGAAGAGGCCGGGAGCAGATGGCAGCGCCGGGGCTCGAATGCCACGGGAGCCCGGCTTCCCCGGGACATGCCATTCGGGAGAGAAAAGTAACTTAAGGCGGCCGCAGGCGGGGTCGGGTGATGTAACAGGAAGCTCTGATGTTTCGCTGCTGCCGCCGCTCCGCGCTGCCAGCGGACACGCTCCCGGCGCTCCCGCACAGCGCCGCTCCGCCGGGACAGCCCCGGGCTCTGGATTACACCCGCCGGGCACCGCGCTCTCGGCTGCCCGCGGAGGGACCGGGCCACACGGCTCCGCACACCGCTCTGTCCGAGACAGCTCCGCACAGATTTATCCGAGACAGCTCCCACACAGCTTCATCTGAGACAGCTCCGCACAGATTTATCCGAGACAGCTCCGCACAGCTTAGTCGGAGACAGCACGCACAGCTTTATCGGAGACAGTCCCACAGTTTGCTCGGGAAGCGCTCTGGCAGGCGCGCTCGCGGTGAGTGCGGTTTCATTGTTTCAGCCACGAGCAGCGGCTCGGTGCCACCCGAGCGCAGCCGGAGCCACGCGTGTGTGTGTGCGCGCTCCGGCTGTAACCTCGGCGTGGGATGCGGAATCCGCGCCGACACGGGCTGCGAGGAAAACCTTCTTTTATTTTTAGCGAGCGAGGTGTTGAGCTGATTTTTATAACTGGTGTTGTTATCGTCTGTGCTTGGTAGGATAGATAGATAAAGAGATAAAATGCCCAAAGCAGCGCTGTAAAGATTCTGCCTGAAACCTCTGACATTAACTAACCAAATTTTTGTCTTTGCATCTGGAGAGAATTAGAGGCACGTTGACTTGAAAAGGGTCCTAGACTAATTCAGTACAACTGCAGCTCTTTCAATAGAGGCTGAATTAGGTGATAAAGTGGTGTCGGTTTGCTTACTGAGTATTTCTCTAAACTTAGTGTACCAGAAAGAGGTCATACTTGAGTTGTTTCATAATTAGGTTTTGTGTTGTAATTACAGAACTTAAAAGATAAAGCTACTGTTTTGTTTGGGCTTTCTGTTTGCTTGAGGAAAAGTTGGGCTGCTCTGAAGCCTGTAGGCGTGCCGGCGTGTTGCTGTTTGAGGTTTTTAACCGCAAACACCGAGCTGATTTATTGACAGCTGATTGCCCACTTTTCCTTTCCTCGAGAAACTATTGAACGGTGGCGAGTGTGTGATTCCGTGCCTTCGAGTAACAGCTGATGGGCAGTTAAAAGTCTTGCTGCTCCTTAAGCTTTCCAGAACAGGTGTGATACCCTCTGGTTTTACAAATGCGGTTGCAGTGCTGAGATTGCTAATTCTAGTCATTTGCTCGTGTGTGTAAGCAGTGGAGCCATAGAACCAGGAAAATAAATCTTGTTAGGCAATAAATCACACTTGGATTTGATCTGCAATGAATCCTTCAGTTATCCATGCAGTTTATAGGGGAAGAGAATTAAATAATTATGAAAATAACTGAGGGGTTTTTTTGTCTCTTTGCCTTAATAAACTTACGCCGGGTACCTTGGGGATGGACTTTGCTGCTCTTACAATTGCGCCAATGCAGTTTTCCCAGTCTTAGTGTGCCTGCTGGGGATCTTGCCATTCCCTTGCACTAATAGTACTTCTAATAGCTGAAACCTGTTCAGGATGTGCTCTGAATCTGAGCTCCTCTCAGTGCATTGGAAGGAGGAACTCTAGATCTAGATCAGTATAAGACCACATCTGAAAACAGATGTGTTTTAAAGTACACATGCTGTGGTACTGTCTGAAATTCTTAAAATTAGGAAAATTAATCTGCATTAGCATGGTGTTTCTTCTCTAGTTTGCTTAAACTCTTATCTATTTCACTGCATATAGGAGTAATCCCAAAGTCTTTCTCCAACTTTGGAAATCTTCTGCGCAAAAGGCACTTGGTGACATTGTCAATGGAGATGGCACTTCACATAAAAGGTGTTTATGTTGTTTTAATGATCAGTGCAAGTGGGAACAACTGTCTTTAGAAGTATACCAGCTAAATGATTTAGATTCTTGTTTTTTGTGCTTCACAAGCAGCTGGTGTAGGTTGAAGTAGGTTTGCCCACAGAGGATGTGGCAGGCATGTGTGTGTTTGCAGGCTGGATGTCAGAATCTATGTTATTTGCAGGTTAAAGCAGAGACAGGCAGGGCATTGATACACGACAGGGTGATTTCACTTTTTACTGGACAAAACAAAGTACCTGGATATCTAAGATAGATTGCATGTCCAAGAATTGCATTATGTGTGTCCTTTCAACTTCAAATGTTCCTGCACACTGAATTTCTGGTCAGTTGGAGCTTTTCTCTGCGTTAAGAGATGTAGTACTTGTCCCTTTGAATAGTCTTTTCTTGATACAACACAACTGTTGAAATCCTGGCCCACTGAGAGCCAGTGGGAACTTTTCCACAGGCTGTCAAAGGGCAGGACATTCCTAAATGTGGGTATTTTTCCATTGAAGGAATTATACATAGATGGTCATCCATCCAGGCACTTTACATTCTGCTTCTGTTGGCAGCTGTTTTATTTTTTTTTTTTTTTTTTTTTTGGTAATTTGTGTAAATTTTGAGCACTTCGGCTGAAAAACATGACCTGACCTGAAAAATAGATAATGTATGTGATCAGTTGAAAAACAGATCTGCATGTGTCTCGCTGGGTGACCAATGCCTTACCTGGGTCACTAAAGGGACTTAGTCCAGGAGCCCAGGATTGTTCCATGGGCTATCTGGGAACTGCTGTTCAGGTTATAGACCAGGATACAATTAAGAACAAAACCGAGGGAAGAAAGCACACTAAAAAATTTCCTTTGACACGCATATATTTCCAACTTGCTTCTATATTCTGTGCATTTGAGGTAATCATCTTTCTCCAGTAGCATTCCTGGTTTGTGTAGGAGCTGGGTAGGATTGGACCCACAGAAGTCCATGAAGCCATGCAGTCATGCAATTTAAATGGGACCATGATAATTTGGAAGAAATTATATGTTTTATACTGATATGTTTTTTATAATACCATGTATTCAGGGATATTTAAAAGAAGTGTATTTAGTCGCTGCTATAGTAAATGTTGGGCATAAGCTATCTATTAAAACCATTGAGGAAAGCCCAAAGCTAGGAAAACAAAACAGGATTTCTCCCTTAGAAGTTGTTCCCATCTGTTGCCAATGTGTTTACAATGTTCTTGATTTGGTACCAAAATCCCTTCAGTGCTCCAGACCAGCTGCCACCCCTGTGGCACGCACACAATATTTGTCTTACCTGGTGCCCTGGCCACCTCTGCTCTGCAAGCTGGGCGGCTCTGTCATTGAGACAGAGCAGCTTCCTCAGCCAAGCTTTATTGAAAACAGCCTTTACTTGCTCGTGGAACTGCTCTGTCCCTGGGAAGTATTTTAAGTGATTGGTGTAGCAAATTGTCAGAGCTCTGGAATTAGCTATATCCCTGGTACTGCTGGTCGAGGAAGGAATGAATACTGCTACTACTAAAACAGATGCGAGTTGGCAAACAAATAACTTTTAGGCAGTAAAATAAGTGTGCTTTTATATGTGTTTATGTGTATTGGACATATAATAACATATTTGGTATATTATTTCTACATACAACATATGCAGGTCCATTTCATGCTGATTTCTATTATTGCCAATGTAGCAACTAAAGAGAGAACCTAAGTTTACAAAGAAATTTTCAAAGGAAATTAACCCTAGACCTTATCCTTTGTTTGGAAAACTCGATATCACACGTGCTAGTATTCTGAATTGCATACATCTGAATGCTGCATCTTTCTAATGTTGGAAACAAAACAAACATTTCAAAAGCTTTCTGTATGTGGACACAACCCCTTATTTTTACCTTTTGTATTCATGTTGGCAGTTCTGATGTTTCCAGTGTAAAAAACTTGCACAAAGAGCGCAGAAAATAGCTTTTTTCTTACCTTAATGGAGAAGTCCACAGCCAGTGTGGTACAATAGAAGATCTTATGAAATTGGTTTCCATTAGACCATTTCTCTTTAGCAACGCTTTGTTCTATTTTAGAATCTGGGCAGAGCTGAAAGGCTAAACTTTCACGTTTTCAAAGTTTTGTTTTAACAGTTGTCTCTCATGCTTCAGTCTCCCAAGTTTGTTTATACTGTTTACATTTTCCCAGCAAAGTCATCCTTTTTCTGCCCTAGCTCTGTGCAAACACTTTCAATCATTTCTGCAGTATATGCTGTCCTAAAGTGATCTATTTCGAGTTGCTTTTCTTTGGAAACATGCGTTTCAAATGCACTTAACTCATTCTAATGCACCAAAAAAGACTTTGCAGGAGAGAAGCCATGTTCTTGCTTCAAGAAAATAAATCAGACTCTTGTGGTAAATTTGCATGTGTGTTTGAGGCTGTTATCTTTCAGTATATCCTAGGCGTCACACAGCCTCTTCTGGCAGTTTTGGTGATTTTTAGGTTGTAGCTGACCATTCTAAATGGATTTTAGAAAATAAAACTATGTTGCATTTCTGGATTTATGTCTGGGTCATACAGGCTACATTTGGAAAATAGCCCCCAAAAATTGGTGATGATTTTGTTTAATGAAGCCCATACCAGTCTGACTTCCCATGTAATACCATGAACAAGGAGCCAACCAAAGAAATTAACAATGTTTTTCTCTTGATTACTATGTTCAAAACACCTACACCTCCCTCATACACTCTTGTTTACCATCAGCTGTGTGTTTAGGCTGAATATCTTAGGTTCCTAAAAACTGCATCATCTTTTCCACCTATTCTTTGATACTCTCAGCTTGAAAACTGCACTATCTTGAATGCTTGTATGGGCACAAAGCATCATTCTTTGAATTACCATTTAGATTTTCTCCTTATTTTTTTCCTCCCCCATTACAGTGGTAAAATCTTGCCAATCAGTTTTCATAAATTTCATCTTATCCCAATGCTGGCAATTCTGGTAGAGTTTTAGAGTTTCATTACAGTAAAACAAAGGATGTACTGAGAACATTTATGTTATACCAGAACTAATTTGTTTTAGGATTTAAAAGTATTTTTTTCCACATAAATAGTTTCAGAAATTAATCTAATTTGTCACCAAATGTTGTGCCCTAGAATCCTTCCTAGATAGAAGTTAAAAAATTTACTTTTCAGAAATGACTAAGACCTTTAGACATTATACTTCCTTTTTCTGTGGTTGCATCATGTGTTTATTTAGTACCCTAAATGGAGGGAAAGTATTCTGCTGCACAGCCCTTTATTGATAAAATGGCATGTTTTTGCAATTATTATCCTGAAATATTCTGTATAATGGCAATATCTGCCCTTTAGTTTCAGTTAGTGAAATCCAGCAGGTGTCACTCTGGGGATTAAATAAGAAATATTACACAAACAGAAATAAGCTTTTTTAGGAGCATTTAGAAGTATTTCTCTTAATACAGTTTTCCAGAGTAATTTTTTGACGAGGCATACTTCCTTAAGTCTGAAATTTGTTTTTTTAGT